TTTTTTCCGTCCTCTCGGGAGAGTTTATGAAAATGTGGTGTTTCGGAACTGTTTTTTCCCATATTTGATTTTAAAACTCCGAAGTCATATCAGGTTGGAGGGAATCTTTTAAAGAAGAGCAAAAAAGTTGTACTACTGTATGTCTGTTCTCTTAGGATAATTTATCCTCTGGTTCCCAAGTCCCAGTTACAGCATACTGTTGCCTTTTCTCCTCTTTGAGAAACAGTGCTGTTTTTCAGCTATGTTGGACCACTTCTTTTGATCACATTCCATTTAGAACTTAGTATTTTGCTTTCAGTGTTCTATGGGTTGATATACCCACATACCATCACCTATTTTGTCTTAATCTTTACTACTAGCTAATCTGTGATCTGACTACTACCAGTTATCTTGTGTATAAAATTTTTCTGATCTTAACTCATTTCTGAGACTTTTATTTTCTGAATTGAATTAAGCTCAACGTTAGATGCATATCCTTTGCAGGTATTCATCAACTCATCAGAAACACTCCACATTTTTATTCTAATCATTAATCTTTAAGAAAATAGATGGTTTTTGTTTTTATATCACATTCCTTTTTTAAACTTTTAATTCTAAAATGTACAAACTAAATAAAATGAGTGTTTCCATATGCATAGAACAGAAAAAGAAAATTGATCATACATGAAATTGGGAGTCTATTATATATACAGCTTGCTTTTCTTCTTAAAATATGTAATGAAGTCAGCCTGTAATTTCCAAAACCATCCTGCTTGTGATGTTTCCTAGTCTCTTCATGCCTCATTGACCCTGACTTTTTTTCCTCCTTTTTTGGTTCCCCTCTCCCCTTTTTTGGGGGAAGGAAACTTTATAGCAAATATGTTTAGTCAGGTAAAACAAATTTCCACATTGACTATAGCTGAAAATATATGTCTTGTTTTATGCATCATCATCATTCCTCTAGAATCTTAGTTGGACATTGCATTAATCAGAGTTCTTAAGTCTTTCAAAGTTTTTTTTCTTTATAATTTACAGTTGTTGCTGTTGTATAATTCTCTTGGTTCTGTTCATTCTGCATCAGTTCATAGAGATCTTCTTAGTTTTCCCTGAAATTGTTCCTTTCATCATTTCTTACAACATAGGAATATTCTGTTATATCATGTACCATAATTTGTTTGGCCATGCTCCAGTTGATGGGCACTCCTTTAATTTCTAGTATTTCTTTGCCCCTACAAAAAGCTGCTATAAGGATTTTTGTAAATATCGGTTCTTTTCCTCTTTCTTTGATCCCTATGGAATATATAGTTCTAGTAATGGTTTCTCTGGGTTTAAGGGACAGTTAGTGATTTGGGGGTTTGAAAGACTGGTGGTAATAGTTCGAGAATAACTGGACCAGTTCACAGCCCTGCCAACAGTATGTTAGCGTGCGTGTTTTACCACAGTCCCTTCAGCACTTGTCATTTTCATTTTGCCTTTGCCAGTGTGAGGGATATGAAGTAGATACTGGAGTTGCTTTAATTTTCATTTCTCTAATTATTAGTAATATAGACCATATTTCATATGGTTATCGATAGCTTGAATTTCTTTCTTTGAAAACTTCATATCTTTTGCCCATTTATTTATTGGGAATGGTTCTTGTTTGAACACATTTTAATCAGTTTTTTGGATATGAGACCATTATCTGATCATTTAGTGCATAGTCTCAAGAAAGTGGTTGTCCTTGGCTTGCCAAAGGCTGGTTCAGGGGCAGCTAGGTAGCGCAGTGGATAGAGCTCCAGCCTTGGGCAAGTCACTTAACTCTGATTGCCTCATCAAAAAAAACAGACCAAAAAAAACCCAACAACAAAGGCCCTCCAGCCCTCAGTTCTTATATACTCAACAGTCAGGGAAGTTAGGAAATAATTGATTTTACATCGATTAGATGACTCACTGTGTGCTAGCTCTTCCTTAGAATTGTAAAGCAGTTCAGAGAATACCTAAAAGTTTATCGTTTAGATTATTGTTTTCAATTCCCAAGGTTACTTGTAATAGAATATTATATTCCAACATATGCTGAAGGTTTCAATTTTTTCGTTATTATTTTTACTTAGATTTTAGCATAAGTTTTAGGTGAGTATATTAGTGTTAAAGAGGCAGCATGGTGGGGAACCTGCAGCCTCAAGGCCACTTGTGGCCCTCTAGGTCCTCAAGTTCAGCCCTTTTACTGAATCCAAATTTCACAGAACAAATCCCCTTAATAAAAGGATTTGTTCTGTAAAAGCTTGTACTCAGTCAAAAGCCTGCACCCAAGAACCTAGAATTCCACAGGTTCCCCACCCCTGGTGGGATAGAGAGCTGGCCTCAAAGCCAGGCACCCTGGGGTTCAGATCTGACCTCTGACACCTACTGGGGGTATGACCTGGGGCAAGTCAGTTGATCTCCCCAAACAGAGATTTTGGATTACGAATTTCAGAGAATCAATTAGTTAACCAACAAGTATTTATTAAGTGCTTACTGTGAGCCTGTATGCTAATATGAGAGAATATTTATAAAATGCTCAGTACAGTGCCTACTTCAGAGTAGTTAACCCTAACCCTAATTCTTTCCCCTTCCTGAGTGCTGGGCATATAAAGAAAAAACAAAAACAGTTCTCTGCCCTAAGCAAACTTACATTCTAATGGGGGTGGGGAAACAACATAAGTAGATAAATCAGAAAATACAAAATAAATACAGGAAGATAGATGATAACCTTAGAGTTCTTATTAACAGCAGCTGGGAGGATCAGGAAGTGGCTCCTGGAGTAAGTGGTGCTTGAGCTGAGTGTTAAAGGAAGCTGGGGATTCTGAAAGTGAGGTCAGGAGGGTGAGTTCTCCAGGTAACAGCTGAGGAAAGGCACTAAGGAAAGATGGACCGTCTTAGGTGAAGAGTAGCCAGTAGGCCAGCATGGCTGGATCGTAGAGTGCCTAGAGGGAAGTGGAATGGAAGGGGAGGAAGAGGCCAAGAGTGAAGACACCTGACTGTCACACCAAGGACTTTATATTTGACCCTGCAGGTAATAGGAAGCCAGAGTTTCTCGATCGAGGGTTTGGGGAGGGAGTAATGTGATCAGACTTGCGCCTTAGGAGAATCACCTTGGTGGCTGTGTGGAGGATAAATGGGAGCAGGGGGAGAGACGGGAGGCACTCAGACCATTGAGAACATGATTGGAACAGTCCAGACAAAAGGAGGTGAGATTCTAAAGGGTGGGTAGTTGTGTAACTGTAGAGGAATGATTGTATTCTAAAGGTGTTTCAGAGAAAGTTTACCTGATTTGGCAGCTGATTGGATAAAGGAGTCAAGAATGACAGTGACACTGAGGTCCAAAAGTAAGTGAAAAGGCGCTAGTGCCTTGCCAGTCAGTACATAAAGGAAGGTCAGAAGGCTAGAGAGTTTTTGGGGAGGGAATGACTTGGGTTTGGGATGCTTATGGTTTGTCTTGTCCTTCAGAAAATTCTTTGACAGCAGGGTCCAATATGGATGGATAGTTGTTTGTTTTTTATTTAATTTTTTTGGTATATCCAAAGGCCTGCTTTAATGACATGCTAGTCCCACCAGAAAATAAACCCCCATGACCCTTCCCCACCCCACCCCCCCTTATCAGTAACATGGTTAAGTTGGCCAGCCACCTCCTACTTTTTAACCTCCATCCAACCATGCCCCTCCCTCCCACGGAAGTGTGCTTCATTAGGTGTGTGCTTGTTAAAACCACAGCCACCAAGAGGCCTGGTGGTTCCTGCCTTTACACTGTGATTCTACCTGGTAAATGGATGAGTGAGGGTTAGGGTTACTCAGCCACCACCTCAAGCTGAAGTAAAAGATGGCCAGCAACCAAAATGGACTTTTTGGTCCCAGTTCCCTTCTGCTACAAATAGTCCTTTTCTCCTTAGCAGGAGAGCTCTACTTCTGACCATACCTTCCCATTTGTTCTGCCTCTCTGGTAGTTGCAATAATGTCCACAAGGCTTTAATCTTTTAAGTTCTACATATACACCCCAGCCCCTATGTACATATACCCCATATAGTTTTTTGTTTTTGTTTTTAAATTTAAATTTAAATACTACTCTCTTTCTTGTGAAGGGAGGATAATTGGCTAGAAGTTTCTTTTTCTCTTTTCTGAAGTTGAACAGTTCAGATTGGTTCACACAGCCTACAGACTGTCTTTTGGCTGTTCCCCACTCTAGGCCAGGGAAATATAAAGAAGCCCATACAGTTAGAAGACACAGGGTTTGTTTTCCTGTCTGCCCAAGGTGAGACTACTACCCTTACTGAATCTTACCTTACAGTCTCATGCATTTAACATTCTCCCCTCCCCCCAAAAAACCCCCAGTAAATCCCTCCTTCTACCCACCCCAGCCCTTGTCTCAAATACTTAGTTCTTTTTTTTTTTTCCTCCTGGAAGCCACAATTCTTTGCTAATGTACAAACCTGATTAGGTAGAAGCAGTGGTTATATTTCTTCAACCCGTTTTCCCACTAACACACTATTTCTCATTCTTCAAAGTCATCAATGACTAAAAACATCCCTTAACCCTACTCCCTTTTACACACACACACAAAAGCAAGGACTTATCTATGGGCACCAAAAAAAGGCATTTTGTGCCCTGGGTTATATGTAGTAGGAAAATGTGGAAATGTCAAAGAAGGGGCATGAGGTTATAGGATGGGGCCTACAGAAGGTACCTGTAGGTCTTGAGAGACTAAAGAGGAAAAAAGGTTTTGAGTATGTGAATAAGGATATCAATGAAATAGGGAATCAAAAAGTACTGCCATGCCACAGGGACTGGATAGAAAAAGCTCTAAAAGGTGGAGGGGATTGTAGGTTGTGATGAGAATGAAGAATAGGTTTAGGAAGAATAGAACATAGAGATAGATAGAATGTGAGAGGAGGATTTGGTCATGTAGAAGAATGTAGAATTTTTGTTCAAGGAAGTAGAACAATTGTAGATAATGATGAGATCTTGGCTGTGATCGCTGTTTGTGAATAAAGTGCCCCAAAGGAGTGAGTCATGGCTTTTAAAGAGCTTGAAGAAGTGAGAGGTTAGGAAGTTTGAGGGAGCATCAACATGGAAGTTGAAGTCTCTTGAGGAAGACAGTAAGCTAGCCAGTGCCCAACTCCTTGAGAAGGGAAGGAGAATGAACTGGGTAGAAAATTTAATTGGCCAAACTTCAAAGGAAGACAGGTAACTGAATTATCATGGCAAAAAGGGAGTCTCAGAGTGACAGCAGGAAGCAAAACTTCTCCAGGACCATTGTGTAAGAGGATTTGAATGAAGGTGCAGCAAGTGCTGGAGAGGATGGCCTGTCATCGAGGGGAAGAACAAGTAGATGAAAGGAAGGTGAGAGAAAGAGGTCCAGGATGAAGGAAAGCTTGTTCACTACGCGGTGGGAATACCAGAGGGTGCAGGAAAGGGCAGGGTTGGAGTTGCACATAGGTGGAACAGGGTCAAGAAGGATAGGAATAAGAGAGCAGGAGGTTTGGGTTAGGAATAGTTGGCTTCTAGGTGTCCTGTGACTGAATAAGAGACGGAATAGGCAGAGTAATAGGTAATGTAGGTAGAGTGTTAGCCATAGGCATAGTAGTGGGTAGGTTCCTTGAGAACAGTGACCATCTATCATTTTCCTTTTGTTCCTTTTCAGTGACTTAGTAAATATTTGTTGAATGAATCCAACTGCCATTCTTCCCATTTCCTAATTTGGATTGATTGTTTGGTCCCAGAATAATTACATGAAATGGAAGTGGGAATCTGGGCCCATAGTATGCAACATACTCTAGAGAATGTTGGGGAAACTAGAACTTTGTATGTATCACTTCATTGTTTAGACAACTTTTTAGTAACATCTATCAACAGACATTTTATTGAGAATTTGCTGTGTGTTTAATGAATAGGTTGTTTTCTACATTAATCCCATATCTGTATAGATACATCTTGGGTACTTTGTGACTTGTATGATTGTGAGCCAAAACCAAACTAGATGGGGTGGGAGCTTGTTATTAAAAGTATCTTTAGTATGAACTGTTTCCATGTAGTAATTTCCAGTTAACTACATTTTAAGAAACTGAAATAGTCTCTTCAGGGAAGAATGGGAAGCTTTATTGTGACTGAAGCATCTCTTGGCAAATAGATTATAATCACTAATGACAACAACAATTGTTATTATTTTTTATTATTATTATTATTAATTCACATTAATTTTCAGCATAAGTGCACAGAGCGTGTTGATACACACACCCTGTAATCTTGCCATAGAATCCAAAAGGATTTAGAAGCTAAAGCCATAACTTCATTTTTATGTTATGACTCCCCTGAGATCCTATAATACATTAAAATTGTCCATTGGCCTAATGAGAAGGAAGTGGAAGATTAGAAATTCTTGTGTAGGCCTTGCTGAGAATTATTGTCTCTGTGGTTGTCAGTGTCTATACTTCTGTATCTTAAGTGATAAAATGGGCCTGAAAACCAGCCTTCTATCTCATTAAATTATGCTCAGTAACTCTTAAAATGAATTCTAAAGTAATTTTAAAAGAACTTAGTTTTTTTTCTTTAACCATTTGCAGAGCAGAAGGGGTTTGTATGAGTATGTTGTAAGATGAAGAAATTCCAAAATAGATCTTTTAATCTTTTCTTGGATTCTCTGGCAGATATTTGTGGAATTTGATGGCTGCAACTGGAAGCAACACTCCTGGGTGAAAGTCCATGCCGAAGAGGTTATTGTGCTGCTGCTAGAAGGCTCATTAGTCTGGGCTCCTCGAAAGGATCCATTTCTCCTCCAGGGGACCAGGGTCTCAATTGCACAGTGGCCAGCCCTGGTGAGTATAGTGGGCAGCAACTGATTTAGCCTTCTGCTTTTGAGTTTGATTTGGAAGTTACATTTGTAGTAGGAATCTGATAGGATAACCAAATCTATACTGTATATGTGAGGTTTTTATTAACAGCTATAATTTTTGAGAATTGATCTGCATAATTTAGAAACATGGACCTTGCTGTCAAATAATTTTCTGCAGGACAAGACAAACGCAAATAGGAAATGTTTTCTCAAATGTGCTCTGAAAGTTTTTATTATCTTAAAATATTTAGTTACTTTTTAATCTCTGGGGAATTTTGTCATCTTCAGTACATTCTTATAGAAAATTTTTGGAATGGGTATATTATCCTTGAAGGAGATTTTTTAAAATGATCAAATATTTGCCCTTTTAAGGCATCAGCTAGAAAGCTAGCTTCAGAGCCAGTAAGATATGGGTTCAAGTGCTGCCTCTGGCACCACTAGGCTCTGTGACCCTGGACAGGGCCTAATTTAACCCCTCGGTGCCTCAGACAATTCTCTACTCCAGGCAAGTTTGGGAAACTGAGAAGGTGCAGACTGCCTTGGTAGCCGTTTCCTCTCCTGGGAGTTGCCCTTATCAGCTAAATTACCGGTCTAGTCCTTTTCCCTATCTCTAAGGTAGGATATAATAAACAGAATTTAATTCTAAAGGTAAGTACTTTTTTCTTACTTATTCTGTTGTCGAAAACATTAAGTAAAAAGTGGCAACAACTGAAAGACAATAAATTGATAGTTTAAGTTTGAATTCATGAAAAAAAAAACTGGGCCTTAAACTTTTAGTGACCCATTGTCAGTGTAAGATACATTTGCACTTGCTAGAACAAGTTCTCTTTCCTTTTGTTTTTTTTGGGAGTGATATTAAATGTATTCTTCCTTTTATAAAATTGTATTTAAAAGTATATTTAACAAGGCAGAAATGAAACTGTGCTGTTGGTTTTTAAGACCCTTTCTGCATTTTTTTGGTATATTTTATGGATTTTGTTTTTGTTATAGTATTCATCTTTATTTCCATAGTTGTTGTGGATATAATGTATGTTGGTGGAGGTTTTCTCAGTTCTGCATTTCTTTGCTCTGCATTACTTCTATTTTCCCATATTTTTCTGTATTCTTCCTACTCAACATTTCTTATGACCCACTAATATTCCATTACATTCATATACCATAATTTGTTTAGCTATCTCTTTCATTAGAGCTTTGAATGATATTTATGGTCAGTTTATATTTGAAAAGTTGTGTGCATATGCACATAGATTTTAAGGACCCTGCACATTTTAGACAATTAATGTTTGTTGTATTGAAGAATGGTTATTTTTTGGAACCCCTCAGATTCCAGGAACACTATCCAGAGGTCTTAAATTTGAACCTGTTTTCCTTGGGTCTTTATCCAGGCTCAGTCCTAACAAGACCTGGCATGAAGGTTGAGTCCCTTAGAGATCATAGAGAATTTCAGAATTTTTGCATTTTGACCTTAAATTAACTTTTCTGCACAGGATTGCCTTGCTTATGATGGCTAATAAAAAAAAAGGATAAAGAAAGGGAAGGTTATTTGAAGGAATTGGTGCTGAGTTAGGAATCATTTTATAGCACTTTGTGCTTTAAATTGTCAATCAACTTTACTTACTGTAAAGTTCTGACAAAGAAGTTTATGAACAAATGGAAGCTTTGGGGTCTGTTCAGGTAAGAGTTTGGCCATGATGTGCTTCCAAGTATTTAATCTCCTTTTTCTCCACTTCTCACAGACCTTCACTCCATTAGTGGATAAATTGGGTTTGGGGTCTGTGGTTCCAGTGGAATTTCTTCTGGATCGAGATCTCCGATTCTTGTCAGATGCTACTGGATTACGCCTATTCCAGGTACTTGAACTCTGCTGTAGAGCCTCATAACTATTCCTGTTACTGTTTCCTTGGCTAATATATATGCATTCAATCAATCAGTAGACGTTTGCTAAGTGTCTGCGGGAAGCATTGAGAAGGTATTGTGGAGAAGACCAAAGAAAAAAAATACAGTCCTTACCCTTATAGAGCTTACATTAGGAATATATGGGAATTGAGGCAGCTAGGTGGTGCAGTGGATAGAGCACTGGCTCTGTAGTCAGGAGGACCTGAGTTCAAATCCAGCCTCCGACACTTAACACTAGCTGTGTGACCGTTGGGAAGTCGCTTAACCCCAATTGCTTCACCAAAAACACCCAACAAAAACTATATGGGAATTTTTCTACTTGCCTTCAGCTTTAAACTTTGTACTTCCTTGAACTGTTATGTGCCATTAAGTACTTTGACCAGGTGCTGTGCCACTGTGTAAAGTAAACTTTAGTGATCATACCTTTCCCCTTTGTGTATTCTCTTGTTCTGAAAACTTAAAGCTTGTAAAAGTGAACAGAAGGAGTTGTGGCTAGAGAAGGTGGTCAGCAAAATGGAAAAGATGGTAAGGAAAAAAAAAGATGATGGAAAGAATAAGAGGTACTAAGTGACTGATAATCAACTTAATTATGCTTGAGAACCTAAACAGTAGTTGAAAGATTCTGTTTGCATTTTGGGCTTAGGTAAGATTGGCAAATTGCCTATCACAAGCTGCTGAGCAAAGTAGCATTGTGTCCCCTAAGTCTGCTATAACTAAGTGAAGCCTTATTTAGGAGCCCCTGTCAACTGAACCCCCTGTACAGCAATATTTAGTAGGCCTACAACCTAGCACTTTGCTGCAATATTTCCCCAAGAGAGTGGCCAATAAGAAGAACTTGCTTCTAGCAAGTTCAGGGGCAAGAGAAATTTTTGCCATGGCATGCAGAGAGTACACTTAATTCAGTGGTATGTAGGTAGATATGTAGATAGGTAGATTATAAAGATAAGGCTGCTCCCCCTGATAGAAGAGAAAGTGATAGGTTGGGAGCAATGCTTCCCTACTCTCCAGCTTGTCAGGGAGACCAAAGTATTTCTGAAAATAATGGATGAAGTACATCAAAGAAAAAAAAATTGTGAAGAAGCAGAGGCATTTCATTGTCAGGAGGCTGCTGTTGTTTGTCCTTCATTCTTGAAGAGGACCAGGAAGCTGATGCCATGACTTGAAAATGAATTGAATTGAAGTGAGGAAGGGCTGTACAAAGTCACCAGTCTCACTTTCTCCTCCGGAACTATCTGGGTCCAGTAGCAAGATACAGATCAGGATGACCAGAGGTGGCCCCCATCAAGTGGCTGGGACAATAATGGAAGAATGTGCAATAAAAGAAGGCTGGGAAGAAGTACCGCTGAACATTTAAAATAAAACCTGTTATTGAATAGGTCTTGGCAGGGAGCTTGATCATCTCAGAAGGAAAAAAAACCAGTGGATTTGAAGTTAAAAAATCTGGTGAATATGAGCTCTGTTAGTTCTCTCTCCTTTCTGACTGTAAGTACCTACTATGTGCTAGGCACTGTGTTTAAGCACTAAAGACATTTTTTAAAAAAGGCAAAATCCCTGCCCTCAAGGAGCTCATGACCTAACGTTGGAGACAAGGAAACACATGTGTACAAACCAGCTGTATACAGGATAAATAGGAAATAATTAAGGAAGGCACTAAATTAAGAGTAGTTGGAAAAGGCATCCTATAGAAGCTGGGATTTAATTGGAAGTTAGAGGACGCCAGCGAAGGCAGTAGGCTAATAATAGGAGGGAGAACATCCCAGGCATGGGAGACGGCCAAGGAAAATGCCCAGAGCCAAGGTGAGTCTTGTTTGTGGAACAGCCAGGCAGTCAGTGTCGATGGATTGAAGAGTATGTGGCAGGGAGCAATGTGTAAGGAAAGGACTAGAAAAGTAGGAGGGAGACTAAGTTTTGCAGGGCTTTGAACACTAAGTAGGATTTCATATTTGATTCTGGAGGCAATAGGGAGTCATTTGAGTTTATTGAGTAGAGGGGTGACATGGTCAGACCTGAATTTTAGGAAAATCACTTTAGTGTCTAAATGGAGAATCGATTGGAGTGGGGAGAGACTTGAGGCAGGCAGCCCCACCAACAGGTTATTGCAATAATCAAGGCATGAAGGAGAGAGGGCCTGGGTGGCAGTGTCAGAAAAGAGAAGGGGGGCTTATTGGAGAGATGTTGCAAAGGTAGTTAATCAACCAACCTTGGCAGATTACGTATGGGGGGTGAGAGATAGTGGGGAGCTGAGAATAATTGCTAGGTTATGCCCCAAGGAACTGGGAGGATGGTGTTGCTCTCTGTGGTAAGAGGGAAGGTAGGAAGTACTGAGTTTAAGATGTCTGCTGGACCTCCAGCCTGAGATGTCTGAAAGGCAGTTGGAGATGCAAGACAAGTCATTTAATCATTTTGAGTCTCAATTTCTTTATCTGTAAAATGAGGGGAATTGGACTAGATCAGGGCTTCTTAAACTTTTTTCCATTCTCAACCCATCAGCACTTCTTAAACTATGGGTCTCGACTCCATGTGGGGATGTGACCCACAATTTGAGAAGCACTGGGCTAGATGACCTCTAAAGTTCCTTCCAGTTCTAAATTTATGATCCCCCAGTTTTAATGCTTTCCTCTCCAAATTACTTTATATTTATTTATCTGTGTACATGTTATTTACCCTTCAACAGTAAAAATTCTATGAGGGCAGGGACATTTTAGTTTTTGTCTTTGTATCCCCAGCATCTCCATAGTCCTTCTCAGATGCCTTATCATGGTTTTGAAGTGATTCTGAACTCTCAAAGTCTTTGCCGACAGAGTGCAAGGGCTGACAAGTTCTAACGTGCTGAAAAGGCTTCAAGTGTGGCCTTTGAAATAGTTTTGAGAACCAAACTAGATAAGTATGAAGAGGCATATCACCAATAGGCTAGCCAATGAGTGATAGATTTTTTTTTTACCATGATAGCCCATGAAACGAAGAAAAATAGAAAATGACCCTTAGTCCTATAAGGCTTCTTCTACTTCTGCAGTGATTGCTGCAGAGAGAGTGCTAAGAATAATACAATTTTTAGATTGTAACAAAACTTTTAATTTTACTACTGCTCTTCTAAGTGTGAGATACTTGTCCAAAAACTATCATGTGATCATATGCTAGAGGTACTAACTAGATCATATCAATCTTTAGTTTGTCAACACAAATGAAACCAGAAGAAAAACAAGTACAGCTACATGGAAGGTTTGACTCACAGGTACTTCTCGTACTCTTTTCTTTGAAGAAGCAAAGATAGTAATTGGTGGGGGCAGGTTTTATTGTACACCTAAAGGCAATAAGAAACGGTATTTTCATGGGATATTTGGTCATCATATATTACAGTGCTGAAGATAAATATTTGCATAAAGGCCTCCATAGAAAAAATTGGAACTCGTTCACTGACATCAGTTGCTGAGGGTGAAGTGATAGCTAAATACTATGAAGAACTTGATAAGAGTAAGACCCTTCAAGTTAAATCAGTCTACACTCTTATACTTCGAATATCAAAGTGAAAAGGTAGGAAATATATGGGAAAGCATGATGGTTCAAGAAGAAGGAATGAAATAGGCCAAAGATTTGAATATCACACAAAAGCTTCATATCTTCATATCGTGGACATTTTTATTGGAAGAAAAAATGGTAAATACTGAACATGTTGAGTACCAAAAGAAAAGGAAAATGATTTCATTTTAATAAACAAGAAAACACATGTTACTGATATGGGAGTTATCCCTGAATTAACTCTCTAGAGCTTTTGACTCTTACCATCACTAAGATAAAGAGTTTAAAAAAGAGAGAGAAAAACAAGAATGAGAGGAGGGAAATGTGCAGTAGAAACAATACTAATCTCTTTAAACAGATAATTGATCATTAAAATTGGAAATGAACAGCATATATTACATCAATCTATACCATAACAATTTCGTACAGAGTTTAACAAACACAAGTTAATTGCTACAACAAAGAGACCAAAAAAAGCTGAGAAAGCACCGTAGTCACATGTGGTTTACTTTCCAAATAAAGATGGCTACCAAAGGCAATACCAGGTTAGAATATAAACTCATTTGTAAAATTTTATGGAGAAGGCTGATGGATAATTATGAGCATGTCATCTAATAATCTGCAAAAAGGATACAATGGAGGACAAAACTGACTTAAAGAAGGCTTGGCAAGACATCCAACTAAGCAAAACATTCCAGAGGCATTTAAGGGTAAAAGTGGGAGGATAACAAAACAAGTGGAAAAGATTTGTAAAAATCATGACAAATATTACCACATTTGGACCCTAGCGTTATAGTCCCATATGTGCTAATAGGGGAGGTATAAATGGCACTTGGAAAACAGTCAAACAAAGGGGCCTGATTGGATTAAGTATATATAGAAAATATCTATGCTGGAGGTGACATAATTGTGAGGGTATTGATGGATCAGTGGACAAGTATCTGAAGGGGAAGAAGATATCAAAGGCATGGGAAAAAAATCTCAGACCTTAGTAATACTGAAAAAAGGTAACCAACAGAACATCAGAACTATCAACCTATATGCCTTATTCCTTATCTATGCAGAATCTTTATGAGAGCCACATACATTGTGGGCATTGTTGAAGAGGATGTTAGTGAAGAACAGGCAGGCTTTCACCAGCAATATTCAGTAATGGACCACATCTTTACTAATTAACTGAGAGATAGAGAATATGAGATCTCACTTTGCTTATTTGTTGATTATTAAAAAGCATTTGAGTAGAGTAAAATGTCAGTAGGCTCTTTTTCAACAATGTGTCTCCAGTCCATATCTCAAAATCATTCAAGATTACTTGAAAGAAATAACAGCTGAAGTGATATCCTGTTCAGTTACCCTCTTTTCATAAACATCAGAGAAGGCATAAAAGAAAGAAATGTGTGTGGTCAAGGAGATTCAGCAGGGAGTCCAAACTGAAGGATTTCTTGTAGATAGCTAAACCTTACTTTTTGCTTCCTTGTTTGCTTATATTGTACTTACTGCATCAAGCCCCAAAACATTTCAGAATGTCCTAGAAAATATCAGTAATTACTTACAAGCATTTAGCCTGACCACACAGAAAAAACCAAGTGGATTTAGGATGTCTGTTGCCCAGATAACAGCATGTATTTGCATAGACAAGTTGGGTCCAGAGTTGAACAAGAGGAGGAAAGTAAGCTGGATTACCTTCAGAAAATTGCAAAGCTCTTCAATGACCCTAAGCTTCCACAACATCTCAAAGGTCTTTCCTTTTAATACTAGTATTAATGATGGAGTATGGGCAATAGAGAGCTTCATGGTGAGTGTTTGCAGGTTGTGACATATAACCAGTGAAGAGCTTTCAAAAAACAGAAGTAAAAGGTGTTATCAGGGAATTTTATGGTAGGAAGAAAGGTTGATGCCATGTTAAAAGAAAAGGATGACAGGTGGACAGCCAGAGTGCTCTCCTGATACCCTAGAGATCTCAGGAGAAAACAAGGAAGGCCTCACAAGACTCCATGTGGCTACATGGAAAGCTATGGAGAAGAATTGTATAGGATGGTCAGACATATGTAGGTTGAGATTTCTATCATTAGAGGAAATACCCAAATCAGTCAGATCACAAATCCATTTCTGTATCCCCAGAACCTGACAGGTATATAGTTGATACTTAATAAATGAATGTTGAATTGTATCCTGTGATCCTACAAACTTCTTGTTTTCCATGAAATGATGGGGATCTACAGATGCCAACCGGAGAGAGATGATTTGGGAATGATCAGAGAAAAATGAGACAAATAAAAGTGATTGTGTGATTCCCTGCTTAGGGGTATTGTGGACCTGACATGAACAATTGAGAGGTCTGCTGTCTCCTGGGGAGCATTTATTGGAGACCTGACAGAGAGCTTCAGAGAGATTTGTCATACCCGGAGACACCTGCCCACTCCTGGTGAATTGTGTAGAGACAAATGAAAACAACATAATGGAGTGGAAGGAAAATTGGACTTGAAGCAAGAGAAGAGGTCTACCTGTCTTCAGAACACCTCTTATACATAGTGCTTCTGTGACCTTGTGGGGGTCAGCTTCTCCTGATCTGTAAGATGAGAGGGTTGGACTACATGATCTAGAATACCTCTTCTTGTTCTTAAATCCTCTGATAACACCAGAAGGAATCTAGAAAAGTATTACTAGGGATTATGAAGTCTTAGGCAGGAAATTCCAGACCTTAGGGGACACAATTAATGTTTCATCACTGCTACCAACTGGAAGCAGGGGCTTCAAAAGAGAACGATTTGGGAAATGAATAGATAAATATCATAAAATGTAATTTGGATTCTGAACCACAGCTTAAAATAGAGAAATAATGGGCTTTTGGCTAGGGATGCAGGATACTCAACCAGGACCAGTAAAAACATATTTGTCTGGAAACTTGCAAATCTTATGAAGAGAGCTTTTAACTGAGAGTGGAGGAAAAAGAGAAAGGAAACTGCATACGTAACTCGAAGAGTCGCAGTTACATCTTGGGAAAGAGGACTATTGGCATATATTACTTCTTAGTAAAATCAGAAATTAATGTGTCCGATTGGCATCAGAGGCAGGCATGTTCTAGTATTCAAAAAGGAAAAAGGTAAGAGTCCTTGATTTCAATTCCCAGCAAAATTCTAAGATGCTGTCTTTGCTCTAAAAGTATAGTTTGTGAACATTTGGAATCAGGGACCATGATTACTAAAAGTCAGTATTGTTTTGTCAAGAACAGGTAATGCCACTAATCTCGTTTCCTCTTTAAGTCAGGACCATTAGTGTATAATAATATGGTAGGTAGTCTGTCTAGATTTCAACAGGGTGTTAGACATAGTCTCATATCCTTATAGACAAGATGAACAGATGCATCAGTTCTCTACTCAGAAAATCCTAGTGGTTCATTGCCTTTATGATCAAATGTAGACTCCTGTATTTGTCTTTGTATACCCAGTTCTTAGCATGTAATTGGCACTGTATGATGGTTGGTTGACCAGGTTGGTATAGTTAGATACATTCTGAACGGGTTAAATGAGTAGGTCCTCAAAGTAATAAGGAGTCAGTGAGGTCAGCTTGGAGAGAAATATCTGGTGGAGTGTTTGGCTGTGTGCTTGTCAACACCTTTATCAATGTCTTGGATAAGGGCACATCTGGGATCCTTATCAAATACGTACATTTCTCCAAGCTAGGCTGATTAGCTTATGGAAAAGTAACAGGAAAGGGGGCAGCTAGGTGGCACATTGCGCAGAGCTCCAGCCTTCGAGTCAGGAGGACCTGAGTTCAAATCTGGCCTCAGACACTTGATGCTTGCTAGCCATGGGACCCTGGGCAAGTCACTTAACCCTGATTGCCTCATTAAAAACAAACCAAAAAGAAAAGAAAAGTAACAGGAATCAAAAAGATATTGATGGGCTTGGATGATGGGCCAGATGTTAGAAGATGAAATTTAGGTGATAAATGAGTTTGAAGATTCAATTGAAAAAGTATAAAATGAAGGGGATGTGGCTACATAACAGTTCTTATGAAAAAGATTCTGCAATTAAGTATACTGCAAAGTTGATACGAGTGTGACATGGCAATAAAAAAAAGTTAATGTAATCTTTGGCTACATTAAGAGAAGCATAGTACAAGGAAAGTCATAGGCCTGCTCTACTCTGCCCTGGTCAGAATATTGTGTTCCGTTTTGGAGATCACATTTTAGTCAGGATATTTTCAGGGTAAAAAGATAATGTGAGGAAGGGAAACCATGCAATATACATTTGAAAGAGCTGGGCTTTTTTTAACTTGGAAAAGAAAAGATATAATGGGCTTGAAGGGCTACCATAAGGAAAAGATATTGGACTTGCCCCATATGGTCCCAGAGGTCAAAACAACCTCTGGATGTTGCAGATTTAGGCTTGATATTAACAGAGACAACTCTAATAATTAGAGCTATCCAGAAGTGAAATGGGATGCCTGAGAAAGTAGGGTCTTCTCCCTCCCTGGAGGTCTTCATTTGGAAGCTAGATGATTTTTTTTATTGAGGATGATGCAGAAGAGATTTCTGTTTAGGTACACATCAGACCAGATGACCTCTTAAGTGCTTTCTAGCTATTGAAACTTTAATTTGTGATTCTGTGACTTTGAGCCACAACTACTATGGTGACTTCAGTGGTAAGGGTAGCCCCAGAGTGGCTGCTATGCCTTGTGGTAACTGTGGTTCATGCCACACCTCTCTCTTAACAAAGTTTCAGGGGACCCTAGCCTGCTGCAGTGGCAGGGCTATCCAGAAGTAAGAAGAAAGTTTAAGTAGGAGTTTGGTTGGAGAAAAAGCATAAGGAGAATAGATGGTTGGGATTATGACTAATGCAGTATTTATTTTAGCTTTTTTGTATAAAGCTTTCTGAAATTTAGAAATGAGGTCTTCTCTAGAGAGATTCTCTACTTACTCTAAAACTTTAAGAGTTATAGTGGTACAGTAGAAAAAGAACTGGATCTGGTATGAAAAGAACCTAGGTTTAAATTCAACAAGTGTTGCTTACTCCCAATTGGACAATCACTTAACTTCCCTGGCCTGCAAAATGAGGATGTTGGACTGGATCAGGGTTCTGAAGCTGAGGCCCATTTAGCCACTATGGACAGATGTCAGAAGGTCCATGAACTTAGATAGGGAAAAAATTACATCTTTATTTAATATAATTGGTTTCTTTTGTCATCCTAATTCATGTATTTTAAAAACATTCTCCTGAGAAGAAGATTGTTGGCTTCACCAGACTGTCAAAGGGCTCCAGGACACAAAAATGCTAAGAACCTGAGGGCCCTCTCAGGCACTAGCACTATGAGCCTAAATCTGGAAACGTGGCTGCTCAGGAGGCTAATTCTTTTCTCTTCTCACTAACCAGATGTTATTGCTCTTAACACTAACATTTGGTATCTTTTTCATTTCTTTTTGGCAGATGGGAACAGAGAGCCAGAACCAGATTCTTCTAGAACATGCTGCATTGAGAGATACAGTTAATGCTTTGATCAGTGACCAAAAGCTCCAGGAGATATTCAGTCGAGGTAAGAACAGGTAGTTTCCTGTGCCTGAGCTACTTCCAGCAAACCTATGGCTGGTGTTGAGGATGGTGAAATTGTGCACCATGTTCTTTTCCTGACTAAAAAAACCTGAGTAGTACAGTTTAGTAGTCACTGCACAACAGTAAAGATGTGCAACTGAGGAGTTGTATAAAATTTCTCTTACATAGGTTCTCTCACAAGAGATTAAAAAATCTAGTTCTGTAGTGATCTGGGTTGGGGCTGACTGTTGCTTTGCTTATTTTCCCTCTTCTGTCACTTTGTTTTCCCCACTGAACCTTGTAAACATTTAGATTCAGTGTCATAGAGTGCCCAAATAGGGTTGTGACTCTGTCCCCAGAGGAAGTCTAAGCAGGAAAAATTGATCTGCTGGTAGGATGAAGGGAGGGTAAAAAACAAAGGGGAGAGAAAAGAGTTAAGGGAACAGGCTATGTGACGTGTGACTGAGTATAAAGGTGACTAGAGGATGAGTGTGGTTTTTGACTTAAGTGAGTGCTCAAATGTTCGGGGGGGTGGGGTAAGGGTGGGCGGGTGCACGGGGGGGGGGGGCGCGATGTGAAGTAGCCAGCTGGGTGTAGCAGGTTAATCTTTGTATATCAGACATGATTGTAGCATGGGAGGGGCACTGCCCATCAAGAGGACTAGCTGAATAAGGAAAGCCACTATTACCTTGCTGTTGGAATAGCCCATGAAAGTGCTGCATTCTCCTAGGAAGAAAGATGTTAAATTTGATCAAACAATTATTAGCGTAGAAGTTGTAGCTCTTTTGCCTACATTGAGCTTTCTACCCACTGTTTTTGAAAGAAAAGGTGATATATCATTCCTAAGCATAATGGTTTATTCAGTTTATTAACTTTTTTTTTAAACCTTATGTATACATTGGGCATCTCACCAAATACCAGGGTAATTTAATTTTTTTTTTAAATAATTTTCCTTGTCCCATAAACAGGAAAAGAAACCTAAGGGTTTAGGAGGGTCTGAGGAGTTCCCAAATAAATGACAGAATTATGGGAGATTTGGGGAGGAGCAATGTAAAGGAACTGGACAGACCCATCAACTAAATTTTCTTTTGAAATAGTCTTTTATGCCTGTATCAGATTGTGCGCCGTCTTGGGGAGGGTGGGGGGGTGGAAAGGGGAGAAAATTTTTCAACTCAAAAGCATATGGAAGTGATTGTTGATAAATCAAAATAAATTAATTTAAAAAAAAAGAAAAGAAATAGTCTTTTACTTTTAGTACTTCCATATCTTTTAGATGGCTGAATGTGGTGGATCTGTCTTTCCTAATTTATTCACTTCCACATAGAAATTGACAACACAAGTATTAGTGCTGTAAACTGTTCTCCTCCTTCGATTGCTCTGGTGACTAATATTAGGCCTTTTATCATTGATGCTAACTGATTTTACCCCTAGGTCCCTATAGTGTCCAAGGCCAGAGGGTCAAAGTGTACCAGCCAGAAGGTGAAGAAGGCTGGGTTTGTGGTGTTGTAAGCCGTCAAGACTCCATCACTCGTCTTATGGAGGTGTCTTTATCAGAGGTAAGAACCTTGGAGCCTTTAGTTTGCTTTTTCTTACATGAGATACTATCATGTCTCAAACTCACAGCTGTAGTTTAAGGATAGTAAGCAGCAGGGGCATCTAGGTAGTGCAGTGGATAGAGCACTGGCCCTGGAGTCAGGAGGACCTGAGTTCAAGTCCGGCCTTAGACACATAATACTTCCTAGCTGTGTGACTCTGGGCAAGTCACTTAATCCCAGTTGTCTCACTAGCAAAAAAAAAAAAAAGGTAAGCAGCAGTGCATTTAAAAAAAAATTTCCTACAAGAGTTTTTCTTTTGAATTGGGAATGGGAATGGAAAGGGAAAAAAATAAAATGCTTGTTAACTAAAAAAAAAAGCAGAAGGGGGAGAATAGTAAGCAAATAAGGATTTCTGAGGTTCTTAGAAATATGTACTCTGCCCATAGAACTCAGGAAAAAGTTTCTGGTGAAATAGATGGACCGAGAAACTTAGTCTAGATTGGGTAATAAAATGATTTGTAATCAAGAAGTAGATGAAAATATTTCTTAGAAAATAAATGCATATACAGTAACATCTCTGAATTCGTTTCTTATCTTCACTTTTACAAGCACATTTAATGCAAGTAGCAGGGGTTGTATATGATTGGTTTTAGAAGCATTTCTACTCTTCTGGTCCCAATAATATACAAAATGAAGAAGAGTTTGATAGTATAGAAGTAGGAAATATCATTTCTAAGAAAGAAATATGGATATTGAATTAATTGGTATGTGTCATGTATTTCTTTTGGCTGATAAGTTTAAACATCTTTCTTTCATTCTTCTGTTCCTTGCCGTCTTGCTGCAACCTCTTATCAACTCTGAAAATTATCATAGAGTGGTGAGATCAAATCAGTGGATCCCAGACTGATACATGTGATGTTGATGGACAACTCTACTTCTCAGAATGAGGTACAGTAATGCACTGAGTCTCTGGGAGTAAAGTAAGGTCTTGGCTTTATTATTTAATCCATACTTATTCTGCATACTAAAGGAAATGTTGGGTATTAATTATATGTATTTCCACACACACAAACATACATATACAGTCTCTTTTGCCATGGCAGCTTTAACAGTAGTTCCATTTTCTGGGTCTGTTAAGGTGAGGGTGAATGAGAGGAGCTGTTGTTATTTTATATATTCCATAGTGATCATTTCCAGTCACAGTCATGTTACCAGTCATTTCTCAGATTCAAAACCAAAAGGCCAAAACTCTTGCCTTCTTAGACATTACATCTAGACTGATATATTTGAAAGATGTGCTGGACTGAATTATTGCATTAAACTTTAGTAGGCAGTATAACATAGAATCATAAATAAATTAAAGACAAATTGCATCTTATTCATTGCTTCATTGATGGGCTCCAAAGAGTATGTGAAATCTTATGGTAACATTTTGTTAGTGCCTCCTAGAGTGTGCAGCACTAACTGAGTTACTCAAAATTGTTGCCAGTAAAACAGTTTGTGTATTATAGATCAGGGCTTGTATCAGTTAAACTGAATATGAAACTCTTTCAGGTTAAAGCCACCAATCAGTGGCTTTTCAGTATCATTTCCACAGCTCTTTATTGACGTTGCTCCCTGAGTTCTTTCTTCTATAAAAGGCAACTCTTCATGAGGCTCTCTAGGCATCATTTTTGTCTTGATTGAATGCTGTCAAGCTGGGTCAAAAGAACAAGGAGTTTTCAGAGCTGGAATATTTATTGTCCTTTCATATGGAAACCTCTAATAGTCGTATCTTTCAGCGCACTGGTATGATGAGAATAATAAGGAAGATGATAAAGTGCAGAATGTATGGAAGTGGCAGTAAGGATCAAAACAATGAGGGGAAACAGAGATTACCAGTGTTTTACCAGTTAAATAACATAGGAATAAAAATGAAATAGATCCAAGACCAATATCAAAATGAATTAAAGTAAAATGAGATGCCTTAAGACTAAGAAGACTCAGGGTTAATTATTGTCATTGTTAACTAATATGGCCAACAGTCACACTTAAAGAAATGCTTGTGGCTACCATGTTGCAATACTTCATCTAGCAGGACACCTCACTGTGCTCTACAGACAGAGGAATGATTGGTTCAGAATGGGATGCCCAGGCCAAGAAAACCACAAGTTGTAGACAGTCCACAAAGACCGTCCAAGACTATCTAGTGGCTGACGTGAATCACACAAAACCAGCTGGATCTCTGGGCACCCTTTAAAGAAGATATTCTTCAGAGTTGTTGATAGCCCTCTGCTGCAGGCAGCATCCTCATCCTTATGTCTAGCCTCACCAGTGATACTTAACTTAATTTCAGAGGCTCTGACATTGTTACTACTGAAGTATAATAATAGTTCTGCCTGTCAAAGCTATGGTAGTTTATACTTCTTTCCTCCTTTCAAGCCTATTTTCTTGTGAAATAGAAAATTAGGAGATTGTTAGTAAGGCTCCCTAGCTCATATTTAGCCAAGTAGTCTAAATAATAATAAATACATACACTTGAAATTTTAGAAACTACTTAGATGTTCAAGCCACATCTCTACTAAATAGTGCTTTTTTGTTTTTGGTGGGGGATGATATAGTTAGCTTTATGATATGTGGGTTTTCTTATTTTATTGTTGTTTGTACTTATTATACACATTGGTGACTTGTGTCTAGAGCAAATGGTAGTATTTCTCTAACTGAGATACACAGTGAAACTTTTTTTCTTTTGATGGCTCATAAATCCCTTATCTTGGGAAGATTGGGTGCTGTCATTTTATGCTGGAACATTGTAGTATGTGAGAGCCTGTGTATTTTGAAGCCTTGGGGATCTCCCATATGGCCTGGGCCGTGCAGATATTCTTTTGGAATGGCAACAATGAGCCAGTGTTAGAGCAGTGTCTTTTATACAGAGGATATTTGATATTTGAAGTCCCTCTGAGGTGACAAGGGCCTTTGTGAAAGGGAATGGTATGCTAGAAGTAGAATTGAGGAAGTTCATAATAGGTTAAAATAGTTGACTAAAAAGGAATATATGTTAAAGCTGAAATTAGAACTTAAGCATCTTTGCTTCTTTGTTTCTTTCTTTGATTATTTCTTTCTGGAAACATAAAACCAAAATGGTTTATGATATTAACAAGGTAGAAGTTCCTTTTTTCATAAAAGTTTTCTGAATTTTGTGTTCATAGGGAGGTACATTAAAGGCGGTAAAGCCCTCCAAAGGAAAGAAGAAAAGAGAGAGCATAGAGGGGAAGGATGGACGAAGGAGGAAAAGTGCTTCAGACTCTGGGTGTGACCCTGCAACAAAGAAACTAAAAGGAGAGCGGAGTGAAGTAGACAGTAATGGGAGCGATGGAAGTGAGGCAAGTCGAGGGCCCTGGAAAGGGAGTGCCAGTGGAGAGCCAGGGCTGGATCAAAGGGCCAAGCAGCTGCCTCCATTTGTTCCCCAGATCAATCGAAACATTCGATTTGCCACATACACCAAAGAGAACGGCAGGACTCTGGTGGTTCAGGATGAGCCTCGAGGTGGGGACATACCTGTACCTTTCACTCCATATTCTTCAGCCCCGGGTCAGTCACCTTTGGTCACAGAGGTGGGTGGAGCTGGAAACAAGGAGGCTGGAAAATCACTGGATCAAGGTGCTCAGAGTCTGGCAGTTCCAACAGCCATGGTCACAACCACCAGCTCAACACCAACTACCGTGAGGATCTCCGACACTGGCCTTTCAGCAGTGACCCTGCAGGAGAAACAGAAAGTAAGCTGGTCTCAGACTCAGGGAGAGGTGAGTGACTGAAACTTGGGGCACGTGTTTTACAGCCACTGTTTGGTTTTTTTGATGTTATCTGTAGTTCACACATTAGAAGCCATCTCAGTTGTCATTGGAAAATATAATTTCTAAGATACTGTTAAATTATACTCCTTTGACAGGGTCTTTAATGCTTCATGAGATGTCATTTCCCTCTTTTGTCAAGTGCATCTATTTTAGTAACTTTATCAGTTCTTGATAGGTGCCTCAACAATTGAGCTAATCAAAAACTGATTATGCAGTCCAGTTTAATGAGATGCTAAGATGTTTCCGGTGGAGAATCTTTTTGAATTCAATTATCCATTTGGTTCACGTAGCAGTTGCATCCTTCACTAGGCCTATAAAAGGCAAGGTTAATGAATTACAGTGTTTGTAGTGGTGAACACTATAATTAAAGCTTTGTGTAGGCTACCATTACCATCCTCTGTTTTCAGTTCATAATTTTCTAATAAATTTTTCCTAAAGGCTGAGATTTTTCCATGATTGGGTTCAGCAAAAATTCTAATTTTTTCACATTGCAGGTAATTTCTGTGGACAAATTAACAGGATTGGCCATGATAAACCACCACTTCACGTATTCGCAATCTGTTTTTTGATTGTAGTTAGTTGCTAAAATGTAAATTTAGTTTTATCTACATTAGAATAAACCGATTTCTCAAATGCAGTTTTTTAAAACTATCTAAAACATTGGTGCATTTTTATGTTTACCACTATAATGTATGCTGTTATCTTTTTTTAAACTGGCTACTAGCTCTCAACTTAAAAGAAAAATGCAAAACTTGAAGGTACTCTGTGCTAAGCACTGTGCCTAATGGGTAGAGTTGTGATCCATACTTTCAAGGATCTTGCATCCTTAAAGAAATGAAGATTATAAGATACAGGTAAAAATATAATAGGCATCTTAGCTGATATTTGTCAAGTTATGATTAAAAAAGAGAAACTTTTAAAAATAATAAATTTCACCTGACTATCCATGATAATTTCTTGGTATCAAGGGAAAAGTAAGGTTGGATGTGTCTTAGTAGAAGAGGAAAAGGAGACTTATATGAAAATTTTACACAGATCATTGTTCTTTCTGAAGGGGAGACATAAACAAGTGTAGTAATACCTCTCTGTTCTCAGCTGTGAGCCAGCTGAGGTTCTCTAGGAAACCCCAATTGAGGATTTTATGTTGTCACTTCCATCATGTTCCAATAATTTTGTAGTTTTGCTTCATTTAAAATAGACTCTGCCTAAGGTGATGTGGCTCTAAATAGGCCAAGCTTTACATTTTAAGGGAAAAGAACCACAAAAATGCTGCTGATCTACAAAATTCTTTAGAAACTGAATAGGTAAAAATGTATGTTAGAAAACATTTTCTAATCAGGCTGTTGAAATTTCTGGGACTTTTTCTGTCATTTTGCTGATAATTTCAGCCTGGGTTTCCTCTGCGAACATAATTTAAAATACAGGAAATGATGCCTATTTTATGATGCCAGATTCCAAAATGGGGACATCTGGCCACTGGGAAACTTCATGCCCTAAATATCAAGTCCAAATGTAATTTTTTATCACTTATCCTGTGAGAAGATTTGGAATTGAATTACTTGAAGGAAAGTTTACAAATTGTATTCCCATTTTTCCGTTTTGATTAAAAAGCATGACTTTAATGTTTGAAACTTGTGCTACTCATACTTCTTTCTTTTAGTGGTATAGGTATCAAAGAGCATGACCAAACCTAGCCAGTAACTAACAAGGAGTTTTCAGTACCCAAGACAGGGTTAGCTTCTCCTCTGTAACACTGTAAGTATAAGAGGATTCAAGTCAGTGATTACAGGCAAACAGGAAGAAAGAAAAGAAAAAAATTAAATGACACCACTGGGGAGTGATTATTCTATTTTAACTTTAAAATAGCCGATAATAGCCAGCATGATCCCTATAGAATGTGCAAATTACCCACAAACTATATACAAATATCTGATGAGTCCTCTGATTTATACCATAAATGATCCTCAAAAAAATCCTAATGTCCTTGTCCTGGAATTTTCCCTGTTCTGAGACATTTAAGCAGGAGAAACCCTGATTGATCTCAAAGAATAATGCTAATATTAGTCATTAATTAATTAATCAACAAATGATGATTAAGCCTTACATTAAAAGAAAAGAGAAGGGCAGTATGGAGGGGAAAGTGTTGGATTTGGGGTCAGAAGAACTTGAGTAGATCCTTTGTGATCATGGGCAAGTCACTTAGTGTCTCTAAGCCTCAGTTTCCTCGTCTGTAAAATGAGGGAGTTGGAATAGATCTGTGGCCCCTTCCAACCTTAAATCATATCCTATGACGAACTGTCAAATTGGTCAAAAGAGATAATATTTGTAAAAAGCACTTAGCTCAGTGCCTGGCACGTAGTGGGTACTGTATAAATGTTTATTCCCTTCCCTTCCTCCCCTTGTCAGGAATGATATAGAGGAGATTTATCTTCAGGTATAGGCTAGACTAAATGAACTTTTAGGGCCCTTTTAACTCTGACACTCTGTGTTTTCCTATAAAATTGATAAGAGAGTTTATACCTCCTTTCACCCCTGTACCTCACCCCTTCCCCAAAGTCCTTAAGGCTTCATTATTTTCTCCAAAATACATTCATGTGCTTGCTGGGATTGGAGCATTACCAAATTTTATTATAACTATGATTATCAAAATAATTATAAAGCACATTTTATGATTTTAAAAAGAATTCTTTCTCTGTCTCATCTGATTTCCAAAATTGTCCTTCTGTTTGTTTGTAGCCATTTTCACCTGTAAGGCATAGTTTCAAATACATATTGTGATTTATGTTTTCTCATCTCTTACATATCATAATTAAAATCTTTCATACCACAGGGTTGGTTTTTTATACGCAAAATGCCAGTGGTTGGTTTTTTAAATTAAGTATGTATTAAATAATCTTATATCTATAAACATTTTTTTTAAAATAAATGAGAGACAGCTCAAACAGTTTCTAATGTAATTTAAAGTGTTTCTGGACTCAGGGTCCAAATATGTGCTTAGAATTAAAGAGCATTCACTGAATTCTAAAAAGACTATCTCTGAGAGTTTCCAGTTAATAAAATATAATACTTTTCCATAGCAGAGAATTTGTTTGCAGAGCTAAGCTCACCTCCCAGCAAAATGGTTTAGCAGTTTACAGTAAACTTTCTCCTCTCTAACAGTCTCTTAAAACAGTTGCATTGGGATAATATTTCATGGACTACTAGATATGCTTCAGATTAATAGCTCATAATCATCTGAGAGTAGTAAGGGAGAAACCTCTTTCCGAAGGGACTCCATAGTAAAATTACTCACTTTTGAATGCTGTGCAGGGGATTGCAAAAGTCTTAGTTCAGTCTTAAGCTTTATGTTTTTCAGTTTGTGGTAGCCAACTGCATCAGCTATGGAGGGAAGGCCATAGAATTAATTATGTTCTTCTGGTTAACTTCATTAAATAAACCATTCATATACTTTTTTTTTAAATAACCTTTTATTTTGTTATCTATATTTCCCAGTTTCCCTATCTCCCTCCCAAAGAGCCATGACTCTATAAATAAAAAAGAGGGAAAAAATAGTTTGGGGAAACTGATCAACACATCAAAAATCTGATGTTATATGCAATGTTCTATGCCCGTGGACCCTAACCTCTGCAAAGAAGCCAGGAGGGATGAGGTAGAGAGGAGATACCATCTCATATTTCTCATGCTTTGTCTTTAGGGACAGGCTTAAGTCATTGTAATTTCATGCCTTTCATTTTAGATTGTCTTGTTCTTTCCATTTGGTGTGTATATTGTTTTCCTATCACTGCTTACTTTGCTTCGTATTAGTTCATCTCAGTCTTCCTATGCTTCTCTGTATTCAGCATTTTCAGTGATCAGTAAATTTGTGTTAAGTACTTACTGTGTATGAGGCTGAGCACTATGGACATAAAATAAAGGTAGAAACAGCTCCTACTCTCAAGTAGCTTACATTTTGATCAGGGAGAGAAAGAAGATGTATATAAATAAGTACACACATGATGCATTTCTTGAAGTACATCAACATCGCAGTATATTTTCTGTACCACAACTTGTTTAGCCATTCTGTGGTTGATAGGCATCTGCTTTGTTTCTGGTTTTTTATGGTAAGAAGTGTCGCTATAAATATTTTGGTGTTTATGGCTCCTTTTTGTCATTGAACTTCTTCGTGTGTATGCCTAGTGGTGGAATCTCTGGATAAAACGTTATATACGTTGTAGTCACTTTCTTTGAATAATTGCAAATTGCTTTTCAGAATGGTTGGACCACTTCACAGCTATACCAACAAAGCATTAGTATGCCTGTTTTTCTATATCTCTTCTAGCATTGATTATTCCCATCTTGTCTCATCTTTGGCAACTGGCTAACATCCGTACACTTTTAATTCATGTCTCATGTGACCAAGATACTGTGGCTGCACCTCTATGAAGTTGTGGTAGTGGAGGGTAATAGTGTTTGAGTCATGGGGTTCACTGATGAAAAATATGAATATACTGTCTCCCGGGCCTGAGAAAGAAACTATAAGATTTGGGTGAGTTATAATAAGCAGCTCTTTAAAAAGTCACTAAATAATGGCTGTCTCCTGTTTCAGAATTCCAGAAACTCCCTCTTGGCTTCTTCTGGATTTGGAGCATCTCTCTCAAGTTCATCCCAATCCTTGGCTTTTGGAAGTCTTAGAGCCCAGTCCAATGGGGTCTTGGCTACAGAGAGCAAGCCTTTGGGGTTTTCTTTTGCCTCCAATTCTGCTGTAGAAACCCAGAAAGATTCTGATCTCTCAAAGAACTTGTTTTTTCAGTGCATGTCACAGACATTGCCCTCAAGTAACTACTTCACAGCTATTTCGGAGAGTTTATCGGATGAGTCCTCTGGTCGGGACTCATTCAAACAGAGCCTAGAGAGCATGAGCTCTGGGCTTTGTAAAGGCAAACCCACCCTGACAGTAGATACAAAGGCTGGCAGTACCCTGGACCGGAAGGTGCCCTCAGAGTCCATGCCTACCCTCACTCCAGCCTTCCCAAGGAGCCTCTTGAATACCCGAGTCCCAGAGAATCATGAAAATCTATTTTTGCAGCCCCCTAAGTTATCCCGTGAAGAGCCATCCAACCCTTTCCTGGCATTTGCAGAGAAAGCTGATCTCAGTCCTTTCAGCAGTTTTGCATCTCAGACAGCAGGTGGCTCCACTTCGGCTACCACTGGAGCACTCAAGGCAGCTTCTGGCTGGCCAGAGTCTCACGCCTCTGCAGATTCAGCATCCTTAGCAAAGAAGAAATCTCTCTTCATCACAACTGATTCTTCCAAGCTAGCCTGCAGTACACCCAGCTCGGCTGTGCCTCCTAGTGTCCCAAGCCTCTCTGCCATGGGAAATGGCCGCTCTAATTCGCCCACCAGCAGTCTTTCACAACCTATTGAGATGCCCACCCTCTCCTCCAGCCCAACGGAGGAAAAGCCATCAGTTGGGCCTGGGCAACAGGACAATCCTCTTCTGAAAACATTTACTAATGTCTTTGGCAGGCACCCAACTGGCTTTCTCTCCTCAACAGAGTTTTTGCAGGAAAACAAAGCTCCTTTTGAAGCTGTAAAAAGGTTCTCACTGGATGAGCGGAGCATGACATCTAAACAGGACTCAGATTCCAGCACCAATAGTGACCTGTCAGACTTGAGTGACTCTGAGGAGCAGCTGCAAGCCAAGGCTGGGTTGAAGGGAATCCCAGAGCACCTAATGGGAAAACTGGGCCCCAATGGAGAGCGAAGTGCTGAACTGTTACTGGGGAAAGGACGAGGGAAGCAGGCCCCTAAAGGCCGACCAAGAACAGCCCCTTTGAAAGGTGATGGTGCTGAACCAAGCTGAGCTACCAGGGTATACGCAGGATTGATTTTCTGTGCCCTGGCACATTCCTTTGGTTATAAGGATCCTTAATTCAGAGCTTTATGCCCTGGTAACACAGAGAGTCTGAGGGGAATGGTCTATAATCTACTGGGCAAGATCTCATATAAGCTATAACAGTTAAATGGTTGTCTCTCCTGTTCTTGACATCCAGAAAAGTAAATCCTGCAGTCTTTCTCGGCAGTAGTCCCTGTAAATACTGTTCCATTGAGTTTTTTCTTTTTAATCAGGAAGTGTTTCTTTATCTTCCATCACTCTTGCTTCAGTTTGAGCCCATCTTCCCTTGTTTTGTCTTTAGTAAAGGTGGAGACTAGTTGGTTAGCATTCTCCAAGAGAAAGGGATATTAGCTGTATGTATACTTTGTGTGTTATGCCGGGACCTTTAATTACAGTGGTTTGGAGTTAATCACTGTAGTGTGCATAACAAGATTATCAACTCAGTGTCCAAGTACTTTCACATCGTTCTGATTTGGGTAAAAGGCAAGGTCAAATAATGGGTAGAGAGCCAGCTTTCAAGTCAGTCCTTTGTAAATAGATAGGAAGAGAATTAAACTATCCCTTATCTTTGCTTCCTTGGTCAAAATATTAGGACCCTTGACCCTGGAAAGAAAACTTTCTTGTGGTATGTAGTTCTGACCAAGAATGGTGTAAAGTTTTTTTTAAATGATGCAAAGTAAAGAATTATGGTTCACTTGGGAAGAATACATGTTATTAATGGCGGGGGGGATATTCTTTTGAAGCTTATGGGGTTTAAAACATTGATAGCCTGGATTGATTGGGGTCGATTAGCACAACCTCTTACTTGGGTACCTCAGGTAAGCGGCAAGTGCAGCCAGTCTGTTGGAGTCTCTGGTCTCTTGCATTCATCCCGTCTTTGGGGTGGTACAATACTAGCTAGGACAACTCCTTTCCCAAGCTCTCTGCTGTCCTCAGTTTCTAGCTGCTGTGTCCTTTCTCTCGCCCCTACCTTTGGGTGAGCAAATTGGAGAGGAAGTAAACAGGCAAGTTACAAATTTTTAATAAGACTAAGTAAGTAGTAAAAAGTCAGCCAGTAAGCCAGGTGAGGGACTGTGGGAACTAGTAGCTGTCTTAGGCAAAAAGAAAATTAAGTGATGTCCTTTGTGAATAGCATAGTTGCCCGTCAAATCCTAGCTTTTGTTTCAGGCTATTTTGACCAGTGTTTTTGTTTTTTGTTTGTTTGTTTTTCCTCTTTCTCTCCCACTTTAGTTGGCCAGTCAGTGCTGAAAGACATGAGCAAGGTGAGAAAGCTCAAACAGTCAGGAGAGCCTTTCCTCCAGGATGGATCCTGCATTAATGTAGCCCCTCACCTGCACAAGTGCCGGGAGTGCCGCCTGGAGCGTTACCGAAAGTTTAAAGAGCAAGAACAAGATGATTCCACTGTGGCCTGCCGATTCTTTCACTTCAGGAGGTGCCAAGAATCATCTGTTTTGTCTGGATACCTTTCTCTCACCATGCCCCTTATCTTTTACCACCACCCCAAGGCTTTACCTGTTCTCATGTCCTGAGATTGTAAACACAAATAACCTGTCCTACTTTCACCATACCTACACTTTAAAGTTTACAGAGTACTCTTTCATTTGATCTTGTAAACAGTGCTGTAAGATAGAGATTGCAAGTAGTATATTTTACAGATAAGGAAATTAAGGCTTAAAAAGAGGGTACTTGGCCAAGTACATACCATAAGTATGTGCTAGTAAGAGCCAAAACCTGATGTCAAGATTGTTGACCATTCTTTCTATCACGTCATGTTGCCCAATGAAGAAATTAGCTGCCCCCAGTATTTAGTATAGCAACTGAATCTTGGGTCTCAGTTTAAAAATCTCTAAAAAATTATTATTTAATTCTGTAAACTGGAAGTTCCAGTAAAATGGATCAACCAAGATTCTATGGTAGAATGATGGGTGGAGGATGGTGGAATCCTTATCTCAGCTTGGGTATGTCCCTTCAGAGCTATGTCTTTTTTGGGTTGTGGACCCCTTTGACAGTCTGGTGGAGCCTGTAGCCTCCTCCACAGGAATGATTGGGGTTTTTTATTCATAATTGAAAGAAATGCTGAATTTCAATTAGCTAGAGGTTAGTGAAAATGAAGGTTTCATTTATTTTTCCAATCCAAGTTTACAGGGGTTCATGGACAACAAGTTAAGAACCCCTGCTCTGAGATGATAAACTCCAAAGCAGGTGCTGGTCTGTGCTGGTAGAGGGGGGTACTTCATCTAGGACTTTGCTGTGCCAATGAAATCATGGGTCCAGCCACATGCCATTAGGTTTGGGTGCCTTTGCTTCCTTCTGTGTGGTAGTGACAGTTCTAAGACTTCAAAAGGTAGATTCTCTTGAACTCTGGAGTATTCTAAATTTTTAACACAGGCTATTCTGTTATGGTACTGCATCATATAGGCATAACTTAGTTATTGCATTATTACAAGTTCACCTTTGGAGGATTGAAATTTTAAGGTTTGTGAGCTTTATCCATCAGCCCTCCAGCTCAGTTTAGTTTCCCCATTTGAATTGTTAATTTAAGGAGAATGAATCTATCCTATACTTCTGGTCTGCTGCTATGCCTTCTTTTTTCAATCTCTAGAGTAACTTGACTTGTGGTTGAGAAAGAAAAGCTGTAGGGGTATATTCAACACATGCAAACATGCCACCGAACTGCAGAGAATTGACACTAGGCCTTGGAAAGGTCCTATTTCTGTACCAAATAATAGCCATTCCTCTCAGATACGTAACTTCGCCACCACTCAGGAAACAGAAGTAGAGAAGCTGCTTATTTTTTCTTCGATTTCCCCATTACACTGTTTCCTTCATTACAGAGAAAACGGGTTGAAGTACTCAGAGGGAACATTTGTTTTAAATAAAGGAGCTTGTAGGAGTTCTTGCAGTCGTTTACAAAAAGCTTAAAACCCCTAAAAATTGTTCCCAGCCTTTCTCATTTTTGGGGGTAATGCATGCCAGAGTGGGGAGCATCAGGAGCCTGAAGGATAGGACCAGTGCTTTAGGTCAAATTTTCAAATTCAGTGAGGATTTTTACTTGCTCTCAGCCTAGAATTGCATGCATGAGGTGATTTGTGTGGCTGCCATGCATTTGACCAGCTTTTGTTGCTTCACAGGCTTATCTTCACTCGGAAAGGCATCCTCCGTGTAGAAGGGTTTTTAAGTCCACAGCAGAGTGACCCAGAAGCCATGAACCTGTGGATTCCCTCTTCCTCCCTTGCAGAAGGAATCGATCTGGAGACCTCAAAATACATACTGGCCAATGTTGGGGACCAGTTTTGCCAGCTTGTTATGTCAGAAAAGGAGGCCATGATGATGGTAGAGCCACATCGTAAGTCTTGCCTTTCTGTAGTTCATACTGCCTTTTGAAGAAACTCTTGTTTCTTTTACTTAAATGGAGTTATGTTTCACTTCCTTCCTTCTTTTGAACTGAAATAATCACTATTAGAATGTGGGAAAATTTTCCCGTATTGAGAAGACTTCTACTTATATCAGTCTTTCTAACTGAGGAGCTAAACTAAATTAAAAAATTTTGTTTTAGGGCCTCTGGAGACTGATAGACCCAGTGCATTCTTTCCCCTCAGTCTGGATGCTAATGAACTAATTTTACTCTCTACACTATTTTATTTGAACAAGAAGATGGTGCTCTGTTGTTTTTCCTTATTTAAAGTGCCCCTTGGTACCAAGGCATATCAGTTGACTTGTGATTCTTCCAATCTGAGTGGAAATTGGGAATTCATTATGTGGTTATGTATACAAGATGCCACATCTTATTTTCAAAGCAAGGTAGTAAAGTTTGATTTGGAACAACATTATGACTACTCTCCTTGTCTCATGGAAGAAAGGCTTCTTGATTTTCAGTCCTCAGAAGTTGCAGGGACATTTCTCAAAAGCTGTTAATCTTGGCATGATCATGGGCATTTGAAACATATTCTATTGCAGATTTTTTTATACGGTCTGTTGAGAAGCATTTTTTAAAACTTAGTCTACCTTTTGTATCTCCCAAGATACTAATTTTATAGATTGGTAGGGTTTTTTTGCCCTGAAAATACTAGATATGTCTGAAGAGTTGCCGCTGTTTATTGGGTTAGCAACTATAAATTACCTTCCTCTTGATCTTCTCCAGAAAAAGTGGCATGGAAACGGGCAGTACGTGGTGTCAGAGAAATGTGTGATGTGTGTGAAACAACCCTCTTCAACATCCATTGGGTTTGTCGCAAATGTGGATTTGGAGTCTGTCTCGACTGTTACCGACTTAGGAAGAGTCGTCCACGAAGTGGTAAGTGACTTTTTCTCTGTCTTGTTCAAAAGAGAATACAGGGAAATTCTGCTGGAATATGTTAGGGGTGAAATGAGTCGAGGTTTCAGGGTTAGGGATTGGGGAGACAATAAGACTATCTTGTGCCTCAATCATTGACTAAACTCAACAGCTTTTTCTCATCACAGGATCATAGAATCAGACCACAAAGGGACCTTAAAAACCATTCATGCTAATAACCCTTTGGTTTTATAGATGAGGCAACCATAGTAGAGAGTGAGGAGACTTGTCTGAGATCATAGTGGTGGTATGTTGCAGACCTGGGAGTGGAACCTGTATCCACTCACTCCACAGACAGCATTCTTTCCAAAATAATTCTTTGCCAGTTTTCACCTATTAGGAAAACCTTTATCAAATCAAGAAAATGTATCTTTCCTATGCTATTCATTCTTGGTTGCCCCAGCATGTACCAAGAATGTCTTCATACCTGCTTCCCTAGTTTCTTCAGCATTGCCTGGTTGAACAGACATGTGGGATACATTCTTTTTAGAGGAATTCTGAAAATCTGAAGGAAGTAACTAGTGGCTTAGGAAGAGAAGTTAGGGATATCATAGGTCCATGGTAGGAAACATACCCAGAAAAAAAATAAAGGCTCTTCCGATTTCAGAGACAGAGGAGATTGGTGATGAAGAGGTTTTCTCTTGGTTGAAGTGTGCAAAGGGGCAGTCACATGAACCAGAGAATCTCATGCCCACACAAATCATCCCTGGCACAGGTAAGTCCTACTCTGCACTCTGCTTGGTGAGGGGGACTTCAGATTAGTGAAATTTGCAGCACAGGTCTTAAAAAATTAGGGTTTAAAAAAAACAAAATCATAGAATCTTAATAATGGCACTGGTCTTAAGCCTTCCTGTATGATTCTATATTTATTTTTTTGTACTTAATAGTATTTTTTTTCCCAATTACACATAAAGATAGTTTTCAATATTCATTTTTGTAAGATTTTGAGTTCCAAATTTTTCTCCCTCTCTCCCTTCCCTCCCCCTTCCCCAAGACAGCAAGCAATCTAACATAAGTTATATGTTGTACTGATTCTTTGAAACTTGAAAATCCATCCTTGTTTGTTTAGGAAAAATGTAACTGAAAACTTAATACTTTCATTGTGTTATATGAAGGGGCCATCTAAATAGTATTAATAGATAACTTGTGATTGGGTCATGATATAAGTTTAATTTTTGTGTTTCCTCTATTAGATCTGTATGTCTAAGCTTGTATTTTGAAATATATGTGCTATAAATAAAAATGAATCCAGAGAACCATCACCTGCATCTCCTTTTACTTAAGAACTGTTTGCCATTTAGATGATAATCTCAATGTATTCATAAATACTTACACAGAAAAAATACTTGTCACATTTAGGGATAGTAATTCTCTCTCTTGCTAAGTTGGTAATTAATTTTCTGAAGTTTTCAGGTTGACATATCTATCCTATGTTTAAAGATCTCTAGTCCATGGAGAATTCCTTAAAGTTCTCCTTCATGGCCTTTCTTTCAAGTGTTATCCAGCCAAATCATATTTCACTTTCTTTTCAGCTCTTTACAATATTGGAGATATGGTACATGCAGCCAGGGGCAAGTGGGGAATTAAAGCCAACTGCCCTTGCATTAGTCGTCAGAATAAATCTGTATTGAGACCTGCTGTCACTAATGGGATTTCACAGGTAAGCAATTCAGGAAGCTATTTATAGATTAACTATAAACTACGTCAGCTGAAGCAGGCGCTGTGGAGTGAGTGCTTAGAGCTTGGTCAGGCATCAAAAAACGCCAAGGTCATCCACTGCATCCTGAGCCATTGCCGGTAGTTTTGACTTTTGTCCTGCCACTAGACTTTGATGACTCAGGAAGAAAGAGTGAAGCTCATGACTTTAGGCAGCTCTGCCTCACTTAAATCCAGTTCATGAGCAGGTGAAGATACCACCCGTGATTTTACTGGTCCTCTTTTTAAAAATAATAGGACAAACAAGAAGTTAAATGTATTCTAAAGCAGCTACGGAATAAGAGCTGGTTGTTGAGGTTAAGTTACTCGTGTCTGAGATAACCTAACTTGATCCTTCTTGTCCCCAGACCTCCCTTTGAGGTTATAAGAGACTCATCTAGAAACAGATCCAAAAGTTGTTCCGGCTCATCTGCTAGGAGCCAATGAATGCTTTAAAAATGCCCCAGTCACTTCCTGGTTTCCCTTCCTTCATTTGTCTGTGCTCAGTTTTGATAGAGTATTAAAACACCTTTGATTTAGAGTCAAGATTGCTATGTTAGAGTCCAAGTCTTTGTATGTTCACAGTGTGGAAAACACTGTTTAAACTCTATTAGTCTGTTTAGCCACATTGCACAAGCAAAACATGATCACCGTCTGTGGCATAATTATCTTCAAGCCTGGTGATAAAGACAGATTCATTTGTTTGGAATTGTCATACTGCAGACTGTTTTCCTGTGTCTCTACACACATCCTGGTGTAATCAAAGTTTAAAAAAAAAACAACATCCTAAAGTTGATTAATTTTGTCCCAAAATCCTTTCAGGATGAAGAATACAGCCAGTAATGAAAGCATAGGAGTTGAAAATGCAGGGGAAAGAGTAGGTAGGTAGAAAGAAAGTATGGCATGAAGGTGTTAGCAGAAATGTTTATATTTTTACGAAGGTTGAAGTGTTAGGCCAGACAGTATGAAAAATGGAGTGCATTTTTAAATTAATCTAGAACAGTTGTGGTACATTAGCAGTACTTTTTAAGGTATCCTTCTGCATTACTTTGTGCAATTCACCTATTTTTCTTTCCCGAGTACATTGTTTTAAGTACAGTTGATAACTATGTATGTTTCAGCTTCCCAGTATAAATCCCAGTGCTTCCTCTTCTGGAAATGAAGCTCCCTTCTCCAGTGGAGGAGGAACAACAGGGGTAACAACAGGGGTGACAACACCAGAGTCTGACCTTATACCCAAACCTGACACTGTGGACAGCCGGAGCGAGGAGGCACTGAAAACAGATGCGTCAAGTAGCAGTGGTGAGACAAAGACCAGCAGGCCACTCTGCACTGAAACGACACCACCATCCTCTGCTCTGCACTGGCTGGCAGATTTAGCCACACAGAAAGCAAAGGAAGAAACAAAAGGTTGGTAAATTAGATTCAGTCGAAAGGGAAGGAGCAGAGGCCGTGGCAGTGGTTGCTGTGACTCAGCGCATTTGTCCCAAAGCATCGGAGGAGTGTAGGAATTGAATTGCATGTGGTGGGTCACATAGAACAACGTAGTCTTGTCTGACTTCTCTCTGGGAAGATGTCATGGCACAAGGGATCATCTGGAGGAGGGCAGAGCCCTAGGGGAAAATGTAAATTAAGAGATGAATAACTGAGAGTAACCCAGCAGTGAATGCAAAAAGATTTGGATGAAAAGAGATTAAAAAAAGAAAATGGCAAAAATGGAAGTGAGATGGAAGAGGGCAAAGTGATAAAGCACATTACCTGCTGTGTTCACTGTTGGTTGTCTCTTCAATGTACAGTATAATCTTTCCCAACGAAGACTGTAGATTGAAAGGCCCTTATTCTTTTCTACTTGTCCCTTTGTTTTTATGGTTGTCACTCTGTGTTATAACATTTCAGAAATTCACTTTCTCTGTTTCCTTTATTATATTGTCTTTACTTATCTCCTTCTTATGATTCTTTTCTTAAAGAAGCTGGATCCTTGAGATCAGTCCTCAGTAAGGAGTCTCATTCCCCCTTTGGGCTGGATTCATTCAACTCTACAGCAAAGATTTCTCCATTAACTCCAAAGCTCTTTAATAGCCTGCTACTGGGTCCTGCTGCCTCCAACAACAAAACAGAAGGCTGCAGCCTTCGAGACTTACTGCACTCTGGGCCCGGAAAGCTTCCCCAGGCCTCCTTGGACACCAGCATACCTTTCCCTCCAGTCTTCTCAGCGTCTTCAACAGTGGGTATCCTCCCCATAACTTCAGCCATTGAATCTGGTTTTTTATTTTTGTTTGTTTGCGTGTTTAACATTGCAGTGTTCACCACTTCTTGAACAGAAAAGAAGCCAACATGCTGTAATATCAGGCATCTGGAATCACCTTGGCTATTATGTTCACCTTAATTCTGTTGTATTTTAGTGCTGTTTTCATTGACATCATTATATTCATTGGACATTGTTCTTTTGGAGCTGCTTTAATTCTCTCTGCATCAGTTCATGCAAGTTCTACCACATTTCTACAAGTCCTTCGTTTTCTACAGTTCAGTTATATTCCCTTGCATTCAGATACCACAGTAACCCTTGGATCCCGTGAAAGGATCTTTCATGAAAGATGTAATGGCATCCTTTTTGTGTAGGTCTCTAGATTGAAAGCCATACTGACAGGCTCCTTCTGTGCTGTTTAAGCTTTGTGAAAACGAGATTCTGTTGAGAAATCTCTGAAGTGAAATGAGGCATCATCTCATTGGTTTTGCTAGGGAAGAATAGAGCAGAAATTGGACCATTGCCTTCTCAGTAGTAAAATTAGGTAGCATTGGCAAAAAGGGTAAGGCCGGGGCAGATGCGTCTGACTTGGATTATTTGTTAGTCTTTTGACTGGATGGGGAACCTGTCTCTAAAGGAGAATTAGGCACAACATGTAGGTGTTTTTGATGGCTTTTTTAATGTCTGCAATCCACATAGGCTTATTACCATTATATACTCTTAGCTATCAAAATGATTTCTTAGGTCTTTTATAGACTTGCCGTGCCCCTGGGTGAAAGGTAGAATGAGTAAAAAAAAAAAATACAGTGCTTCTTACTGTTCCTCCCATTTGGTAAGGGATGTTTTAAGAACCTACATAGAATAAGGCTAGCTAGGTCAGTGACTGTTTTTCTGTGTTAGCATGAGTCGTTTGACTATCTTTTTTGCCGATGATTGTGAAACTAAATATAGATGTTGGGGCTTCTTTCTCTCAGGGGGTGAAGAACAAGGCCAGTCTTCCCAACTTCCTCGACCACATCATTGCCTCAGTGGTAGAAAATAAAAAAACTTCCGATGCTGCAAAACGGGCCAGTAACCTCACTGACACCCAAAAAGAGGTGAAGGAGATGGTGATGGGACTGAATGTGCTGGACCCACACACCTCCCACTCATGGCTCTGTGATGGGAGGCTCCTGTGTCTCCATGACCCCAGCAACAAAAACAACTGGAAGATCTTTCGGGAGTGTTGGAAGCAAGGCCAGGTCAGCTTGATTAAGGACCATGTTTAAAGCCTTGGGCCCACAGAAAATATGTGGTTGTAGCTGGTTGTAGTTTAGGCATAGCTGCTATTCCAGTGAATATCCAGTCTTTTACCATATCTCAGGGAAATACCAGTGGGATTGAGAAAAGGAGGAGGGAAGGAGAACCAGTGACAGAGCAACCAGATTCTTGTAGGTAGTACTGCTTTTGGAGAACCTTTGATTACTACAAGCTCTCTGACAAGTTCTGGAAAAGACCATGGAAATTCTTGTGAAATTAGTGATCTGGCTTGGATATTGTCTTGGAAAAGAAAGCAACATTAGGTGTAATGTGTGTTGCGGGGTGGAGGGTGGAGTGTAATACTTTACCAGGGAAATATTTCTTGGTTATACCAAGTATATATTAAAGCAGTCATTTATTTATACACGTTTCAGATACATAAGGAAGGGAAAGGGTGTGGGATTTCTAGAATTATCCTTTACAAATATGAAATGTTGCCAAAAGTTGAGTTTGTCAGTGTTTGGCCTCCCACCTTTCTTTTGTATAGCAGTAGGTATCCAGAGCAACAGAAGTGATTTATCTGATTGGACCTGGAAGGTGGAGGAAAAAGTGATAATAATAGAGTGGAAGCAGTGCCTATAAGCTTCAGCTGATGTTAGAATCGGGAATCCCATAATAGAGTTGTCAAGCTAAAGAACTTGGGAGAAAGAGGAGGAGGAGGAAGAAATGTTACTGGGGGATCCTTATTCCTGTCCCTCTTCAGCCCTGGGGGGCTCTTAGTGTTTTTCCATGACCGTGCTGCTGATCAAGATATTTCTTTCCACAGCCTGTCCTTGTTTCTGGGGTGCATAAGAAGCTCAAATCTGAACTTTGGAAGCCAGAAGCATTTAGTCAAGAATTTGGAGACCAGGATGTGGACCTAGTGAATTGTAGGAACTGTGCTATCATTTCTGATGTGAAAGTGCGTGACTTCTGGGATGGTTTCGAAATCATATGCAGTAAGTGGCTTTGAGGTCATATCCACTAAGTGCAACCTGGGAAGAAAGCCAGCTCTCTGTCTTCCCAAGATTGCTTTTCAGCACAGCATACCTCTGTAGAAACAGCCACAGAGGTCACTGTAGCATGGTAGGAAAATCTTGTCCTTGGACTGGCCACAACAGAAGCCCATCTAATGGAATAAATTCCTAGCCCTCAGTTTGTGGTCCAGCAAAGTTTGTTATCATTGACAAACAATGGAGACCCTTTTAGCCAGAGGTGTATTGATCTCTGAAGCCATGGACAGGGGAAACGTTGTATATCTAGTCCACTATGGGAGATAGAATTGAAAATTAAAAAGCTAGTCTTCTGTGAGGTTGAGCATCAGGAGATTTTCCATCATTCAGTTCAGTGAGCCAGGACTAGTAAATGACTACTTTATCTCTCACAGAACGGCTAAGATCAGAAGATGGGCAGCCGATGGTACTGAAGCTCAAAGACTGGCCTCCAGGGGAAGATTTCCGAGACATGATGCCTACAAGGTTAGCAAACTAAATCAAGCTACAGCATCTTACGGGGTATGTCACAAGAGAAATAGAGTTATAAGGGATTACGTTTTGAATATCACCAGAAGACTGGCTACTAGGGTATGACTTGTTTCAAACACAGCAACTAAAAAATGTCTCCTAAGAGAAGCTGGGAAAGTTTGCCGTCGGTTTTATTTGAGCATGTCTCCATCTGTGAAATCATAGCTCCTTGAGTATTAAAGTAAGTCAAGGGGACTTTAACTTGGTGGGCTTTTCTTCTGTAGCACAGTATGTCCTCTCCTCTCTCTTGCCCTTCTTTAGGTTTGAGGATCTGATGGAGAACCTCCCCCTGCCAGAGTACACCAAGCGAGATGGAAGGCTGAATTTGGCTTCTAGACTACCCAGCTATTTTGTACGACCTGATTTGGGTCCCAAGATGTACAATGCCTATGGTATGAGGGGATAGACCCAGGGATGCCCTCTCAAACTCCTCTCGTTTAACAGCTAAAGAATGATTTGTGGGCAATGAGGAACCAGGAAATATTTGTAGCTAGGAACCGGTATAGCAAGTGACCTTTTATTATGGCAATAATCTGAATATTATTGACAATTTTAAAAAATTTTTTCATACTGATTTATGTACCTGTATTTGTTCCCCCAGGTAGGTGGAAAGTAACCTTTTAAAATTTCATATATATTAAATTTAATAGACAATATTTTCTTATCTGTAAAATTGAAATAGTCATACTTTCAACACCTATTTGGTTTTTAAATTGGAAAGCACTATGTAAATGTGAGTTGTTGTTATTGTTAAAGATATGACTCAATTCTAAAAAAAAAAAATCAGAGAGTAACAGTGAAGAAGTTTGGATGCCAAGATACCCAGCGTGTCAGGCAGTCCTAGTAATGGACATCACAGGGAGAGAGAGGGAGGACGTTCTTGGATGTTACTGAGCCCAACCCTTATTATCTTTTTAGTTTTAGATGGGAAAAGTAAGGCAGGATTTTTTTTTTGGGGGGGGGGAGATATGATTTGTTTTGCTTTGATGGAAGCTGGTTGTTTAGGCAAAGATTTGGTTTGGAATACTCACTATGTTAGTGCTGTCTGTCCACTGTGTTAACCTGATTAGGAGGAATTGCTGAAATGAACTGGAAAAGTTTTCAAGACAGTAATTTGGAAACAATCTTAAAACCAGAACCTCAATACCCATATAAAGCCATTCTAACACATGTTCTTGGCAGAGGGTTTGTTTGGATTATTTAGAGTATTGGCTTTTCATCCTATTTTTTCTCTTCTGTAGGTTTAATCACTGCAGAAGATAGAAGAGTTGGTACAACAAACTTACACTTAGATGTGTCTGATGCAGTGAATGTGATGGTGTATGTTGGGATCCCCATTGGGGAGGGAGCGCATGATGAAGGTAACATCCCCAAGACTAATTCATTGATTTATTGTCCTACGTTACTTCAAGGTTGTAGCAAATGGGGGTGGTTGGTGGCCCAGTAGATAGGGCACTAGGCCTGGAGTCAGGAAGTCTTGAGGTTCCAATTCACCCTCAGACACGTGGGCAAGTCACTATTGAGACACAAGGCTCTCTGCCTCAGTTTCCTCATCTGTAGAATGGGAGTAATAATAGCACTTAACTCCCAGGGTTGTTGGAAGGACCAAATGAGATAATAATTATTAAATGCCTTGCACAGTGTCAGGCACATAGTTAACTCTACATGTGTTAATTATTATTATTATCAAACATTATTATCAAGATCTTGGTAGGAAATATTTGATATCCTTTTCCTTGTTTTAAGTCCCTGAGTGATGTATAGACCTCTCATCAAATGCACCCCTCCTCCACCCCCCCACTCCCCCATGTCAAGAAATATAGACTACAAACTAGATATAAGAAATGACTATAGTTTGGCAAGACACCAAACCACTTCCCCAGCTGGAGGGATGGGAGGAGGGGGGTTGAAATTGCCTTACTTAAGAAAAGGGAAAGAGTCTGTCAATGGAAGGTTTAAGTCATTCTTCCTGAAGGCTTGGTGATGGACTAAGTGGCATTTTGACCCTTTGATCTTCTGATTTATCCTCTAAAGTTCAAAATATTTGGAATCAATGGGCTTTACTTTTTTTCAATCTGTGGCAAATGGTTGACTGCGTCCGCCTGGTGGAGATCTGTTTATGATTTCTGTTTGCCCTTCCAGAGGTGCTGAAGACTATTGATGAGGGGGATGCTGATGAGGTGACAAAACAGCGGATTCATGAAGGGAATGAGAAGCCTGGAGCATTATGGCATATCTACGCAGCTAAAGACGCTGAGAAGATCCGGGAACTTCTCCGAAAGGTGGGGAGGTGTCTGCCAGTACCTTTTCTTTTTCTTTTCTTTTCTTTTTTTGCCAGCCCCTTTTCACATTCGCAGAAATGATTCTGGATGCCAAAGAAAAGGCTGAACTAAGCCTTTGGGACATGGCCTGGATTAGCCTTGCCACTCCCCTAGGATTTCTCAGGATATTAATCTTTTTGTGAACCGAAGACCTTGATATTTTTATTGTTGGTTCTACCCCCAGGCTGCTGCAACATATACATACTTTAAAATGCTTATGTTCCAGGCAGAAGTTGCTTCTTTGTGCTGCTTTGTATTAAATGTCCATTAGACCTAAATTCCTGTCTCCAAGATGTGGCAGTCAGTATATTTTAGCTCAGGATTGTCTCAAACCCTGCTGTAGCTCTGTGACAGATTGTGATTTTTGCCACTTTATGGGTCATCCACGTATTTCTTTGGTGTCTGGCGTTAGGTCGGAGAAGAACAAGGTCAAGAAAATCCTCCAGATCATGACCCAATTCATGACCAAAGCTGGTACCTGGACCAGACCCTTCGTAAACGTCTCTATGAGGAGTATGGCGTGCAAGGCTGGGCAATTGTGCAGTTTCTGGGGGATGCTGTCTTCATACCTGCAGGAGCCCCTCACCAAGTAGGTGTACAGTTTTCTAAGTAGGAAAATAGAATTTGAGGTAGTTGAAACCAAACTGTCCTTTGACCATTGAAAATCTAAAAGGCTGTAACTCAGCTGATAATCTATAGCATCTGTATTCTCTCTAGAAACCAGTTTCACACACTGCTGCTTGTACTCATCTAGTATATAGGAGTTGCCCCTATATTTCTTGCATGGTAAGGCAAGAGGTAAGGTGGCTAATGTTAGAACATTCAATTTTTCATTGTGTTTCCAATGCCTGTTACTTTCCTCATATTTTTCTCAGGTTCATAATCTGTACAGTTGCATAAAAGTGGCAGAAGATTTCGTATCTCCTGAACATGTAAAGCACTGTTTCCGCTTGACCCAGGAGTTCAGACATCTGTCCAACACCCACACAAATCATGAGGATAAACTGCAGGTGATTATGAATCCCCACAGACACACTTCCCATATTCTGGGTGAAACCATAGAGGAATGTTCCAGAGGAGAAGCTGGATTTTCTGGAGATATTGTCCTAGATCTTTCTAAACCACATTGCTCCAAGATTTTGATTTCAAAGAGCACACTTACAGAGCAGCTAGCTGACGCAATGGATAGAACGCCAGCCCTGGATTCAGGAGAACCTGAGTTCCAATGCCGACTGAGACATATAATATTTACTAGCTGTGTGACCCTGGGCAAGTCACTTAACCCCAGTGCCTAGCCAAAAAACAAAAACAAAACAAAGAGTACACTTACTTTTTCAACCTAATCTCTTTTCGGGTGTAGTTATACTTTAGGAGTCATTCTTTGTGTGAATAACTGTCTGAAGTCTAGCTGCACCAACCAAATGGAAAGAGCATTTTACCAATTAGTGTCTGCCCAATGGAGTGGAAGGGATCTTATTTTGTGGGAGATGGTCCTCCTTGAAATCAGATTTTTTTTTTAGGTATAAAATCCTCCAAGCCCTGACTATGAAAAAAAAAAATGGTTGATAATCTTAATGTCACCACTCAGGTGACCCTTAAAGGATGGGCATCCAAGAGATCCATCAGAAAGTGAATTTTTCGGCACAGAGAGTTCCTGGTTCTCCCATTAGAGCTCCAACTTCCTTGCCCAGCATTAGGTTATTTACTGGTTGATTTGCTCTGCCATATTTCTCTTACAGAGGCAGCTAGGCGGTACAGTGGGAACGCTGGGCCTGGGGTCAAAAGGACCTGAGTTCAGATCCAGCCTCAGACACTAGCTATGTGACCTTGGGCAAGTCACTTAACTCTGCCTGAGTTTCTTCATCTGTAAAATGAGCTAGAGCAGAAAATGGCAAACCCTTCCAGTATTTTTGCCAAGAAAACCCCAAATGGTGTCACAAAGAGTCAGACAGGACTGGAAAATGACTGAACTGAGTTTCTTTTATCCTTCTTAAACTCGGAAATGTGAAGGTCAGAACCACGGTACCTACCAGTGCATCTAGCTTGTGTGATATACAAATAACGAAGAATAAGGGAATAAAATAGCTCTGACTAGAAGCACTTTCCTTGCCTGCGGCTCAGTCACTTTCCAAGTTCACTGTATCAGGTGGAAGCATCTTGTTTGTTTGGAAACTAAGTCACCTTCAGCTCCATGTTTTAAGACAGTTCATTTTGATGCCGGGCTCTCACTCTTGAATGTAGCTCTAGATATTTCTTGATAATGTTTAGATTGGGGCTGCAGGAGGGCTGGAATTTGGAAGATGTCTCTGTGGTATGTGGAACACTGTGCTTTGCATTAATAAGATGGTATCACAGTTAGAGCACAGCACTCATTTGTCTTCACAGGCATAGGCAGGCACTGACTCTGTCCTTTTGATCTCCCAGGTGAAGAATATCATTTACCATGCAGTGAAGGATGCTGTTGGCACACTGAAGGCTCATGAATCCAAGCTGGCAAGGTCTTAGTTGTGGCTAGTTTCCAAACCCTTGTGAAGCAGGCCTTTCACTCACAGTACTTACAGGGAACGGGCAAGGGTCTCTGCTGGAGCAGGGACCCCCTCACGGGGAGCCGGTGCGGTCAGTATTACGAACTCTCCAGCCACTGTTTTCTACGCTGCCTCAAACACTGATGGTGGAAACGGGAAAGTCGCACTGTTACACACCCAATTCCAGACTTCGAGCCGAGGGTGCCACATCCCCCATCCTGCGGCCTTTTGGGAATCCAGATCACCTAAACACCACTGGGTTTTCCTGCATATTCTTGTGATTAGAGAGTCAAAACCAAGAATGTGGGCACTTTTTTTCTCCTTTTTTTTTTCCTTTTCTTTCCTCATGCCTAGTTAGTTGGGAATATGTTTGGAGATGGGGGGATCTGATAGCAGATACAGTAGGTGGCATTTGCCGAAGTGTGACCCATAGAAACCCGACAGCATATCTCTTCGTATGACCTTTTGTGTGACCCAGCCTGAGGAAGAGGGGTGAAGCTGTCCCCATACTCCCTCCCTTGTACACTGTAGACTTACAGAACCCAGGGAGAACCCACTGCTTTTCCCAGGAGGCTCCAGGAATAGGAGAATTGTGTATTTAGTGAAAAACTAGGTTTGTAGTGAAACAGTTACTATTTCATGAAAGTAGATATTTTTAGAATTTTTGGAAATACCACAACTGTTTTCCTGGATTATGAGGAAAGGCACATTACATTTAGTCTTCCTTTCAATAAAATCTTTGAAGAGAAATGGTTTTTAGGAATTAAATGTCCATAATAGCACAAAATTAGCCAAAGCAGAGCTCAAAAGAATTGGCTTTTTAGGGTTTCTTTCCTTTCTCCCCCTCCCATCCCAGCAGTCTCTACAGAGAGGGAACAGTAAACCAAGAATGAACTTTTGTCATGTCTGTGAGCTGTGGTGTGTATGTCCCTGCACTGGTGACTCCAGGAACCATTCCACCTGTTACCAGCGTTCCCTTGGGACTCAGAATACTTTCCATACGTGAAAGAAAATTTAATTTCCAACATCAGGTTTTTTGTCCAGAAATATTTTCAACAAAACTTTACAGCTCAATGGAGTTTTATTCAGATTTCAATGTCAGCATTTGAAAATGATGGATTTCATTGTCCCATGATAAGTACATTGGGAAGTGTATCTACCTTCTTTTCAGCTGTACTGTAGTGCCCCCTGCAGGCTTGTTTATATGTTCACAGTTACTTCATTTTTTAAAAAATAAAAGTCATTTACTGTAGAATACTTTTAATTTCACTTTCTGTATTTTCATTTTGTGAAGGGCTGATTGGGGTTTCCATGTTCTTATTAAAATATAACAAATCTCTGTGGAGTGGACTAACTTCTTACCCCCTAAACCCAGGCCAGACTTTTGGATGTCATTACAGATAAGGTCCCTTTTGGTTCTCTGTGACTGGTACACACCAGAAAACTCACTGTGGCTTTGACACTTTGAGTTAGCACCTTTGCCAGAGTGGGACCCGATGCTGTTTTTTGAGTTTCACTGGCATTTTATTGAAGTGTAGTGGGAATTTCTAAGGGTAGAAGGTGAGGGAAGGGTTTTTTGCAGTTTATCTTTGAATGAATATGAAGGCTTCCCATCTCAGCTGGGGCAGAGGTCCCAGACTCTAGTCTCAAGTTTTAAACAACAGTTTCTTTGCTCCTTCCATTTGCTGCCCTGTGAACTCCCTGGTGACTCTGAAATAGGTTGTGAGGTCTTAAGTCTCCACATGGTTCTCTAAGAAAGGAGAGTCAAGTCATACTTTTCCTAGTTAATCTTAAAGGCAGTTTATGGTTCATTTGACAAAGTGAAAAAAACTTCAAAACTGAAGTCCTTGACAAATGCAGGAAATACTTTTCTTTGTGACTGTAAAGAAGGCCACCAAGCCAACCTTGGGGGAAGAAGGCACCAGTACAAACCTTGACGTTTTGTGACTGGGTAGCTAGAATGGTTTACATGTTGTTTTGGTGAAAAAGGGTTGCAAAACGAGGAGGAAAAAAGCTTTTGGAAGAGGGAGCTTTACTGAAGGGAGAGAAGGATCACCAGGGCTATTTCTCTGAAGGCTTCTGAGATACTGATTCTGGAGCATTTGAGATTCAGAATGGAAATTGAACAGCACTTAAACCTTATGCTTTGAAATTCAGAGTTTGTAAGCTTGGGTGATACAGAGGGCACCAAAAGATCTATGTACCCTTTTGAGATGTACCACCTTTCTATAGAGACAATAGGAATGGCAAGGGAAAAAAAAAAGCTTTGAAAATATTACACCAGTGGGATCAGAAAGGAAAACAGTGGTGCCAACACTGTGTAGATGTGAAATAAAATGGAAATTGGAATTTTGCTGCTTCATCGAAAGTTAGTGTGAGAGATAGCCTACATTTTGGCTATAAATGTCTCAGTAATTGGGGCAGCTGCTGGAGCAGGTACTGCCCTGTGGGAGCAGCGCCTAAGCTCCTCGCCCAGTTCCTCTGCTGGCCTTCTTGCTGCCTCTGACCTGTTGTCTCATGGTAGATAGTGTTCCTTGTGTTTCAGTGGGCCAGCAGCCCCCCCAACACCCGCCTCAAAACCAGGTTTTGACTCCTAGCCCAGACCTGTTTCCTCTGTCCCAGAATATGCTTTTTCAGTCCATTGGTGCCTGATCCCTAGCGTCATCAATATTATACCCACACCCCTCCTACCACAAAAAAACAAAAGACCCAGAGGGGTACTAAGGACAGCCTGTTCTGCAAAGATTTTTCTTCCCAAGAACTGAGCACTTAGCTTCTCAGTTCCTTTATGCATGAAGGAGGTCACAGACCGATAGGCTCTTAAGCTTTTCTTAGGATCATAGGATCATAGATTAAGGCTGAGTGACTTGCCGAAAGCTACACAGGGAATAAATACCAGAGCAAGATTTGAACCCAGAAGCTTGACTCCAGCTCCAATGTCCTTTTCACTGATAGGGCTCAGTATTCCCTAGAGCTACACAGAATTGTAGATACTTGAGTGGAGCACAGCCCCTGTCACAGTGCCTGACACACAGGTGTTTAAGAAATGCTTGTTAACTTTTCTGGGGAGGTAGGTGGAATAACGTGCACTCGGGCCCCCTTGAGGTTTCCGGGTGGTTGTGGCCCCACTAAGAGGGACCGGGGGGGGGGGCGGCGCGGCAGGGATTTAGGCTGGAGCTTCTAACATCCGAGAGCGAAGAGGCCTGTCCAGATTGAGAGGGGAGGGGGCAAGGAGGGAGAAAAGATGAGTCTGAAGTCCGCAGATGGCCCCAGGCGGGGAAAGGGAGTCCGGGGTGACTGGGCCAGAAGATAAAAGAGGGCTTCCAGGCTGGGTCGAGGGGGGCGATGAGAATCTGGCCAGTGATGAAACCGGTGCCAGAAGGCATCGGGGAGGGCGGCTCGGCCCGCACTGGGCTGGACCGGGCGGAGCAGGTGCAGGGGAGGGGGAGGGGAGGGGCGCGCGCGGGGCGGCCGACAGCAGCGGCCTCCCCTTTAAGAGCCGCCGCCGCCCGCAGGCCCCGCGGTTGCTGCAGGAACCTCCCCTTTAACGGCCGCCGCTGTCCCGCTCGCCCTCTCGGGCTCCTCCATCCTCCGGCCCGGGGCCCCCCGGCCCGCGGACCCAGGCGCTCTCGGGGCGCGCACCTGGCCCGGCCCCGCCATGGTGTCCTGGATCATCTCCCGCCTGGTGGTGTGAGTAGGGGCGGGGCGGGGGCGGAGGAGGGATGCGGGGTCGGGGTGTGGGGCTGAGAACGCGGGGTAATTGGGGCAGGTGCGAAAGGACAGCCGAGGGTGAGGGCGTCGGGAGGGGCGGGGGCGCGGGGGACGTTCCCCGGGGGCTTGGAGGAGCCCGGGAGGGGTCCCTTTCAGGGATGACCGAGCCTCTCCTGGGGTACTCATCCCCCATCCCCGAGGTCTGGGGTTCCCCCACTTGGCCAGGGAGGCCTGGCGGGGCGGGGACGTTTGCGCCCCCTCCCCCATAGCTCATCCCCACCCGGGATGGCGAATGCAGGGGGCTGCACCGGGGACCCCCCACCCCAGCCCTGTCGGGGCCCGCGGAGGCAGCCGCGGCTCCTCCCTCCGAGCATCCCCTCTGCGTGCCCGGCTGCCGGGCTCCCTTCCCTCCTGCTCTCATGGCCGTGGCATTGCCGAGTGCCCTCGGATGGGTGGGAATCCCCCCGAGCAGCATCCCCGGGCCCCGGAGCGGGAAGCGGCGGCACAGCTGTGGCCCCCCCGGGGTGTGAGCGGGCGCAGAGGGCGGCGAAGGCGCCCCGGGAAGAGCCCCGGTCCGCGAGGCAGGCGATCCGGGTGCTGCGGGGGAGATGTCGGCAGCAGTGACAACGTCGGGGGCGGCCGGGGCGCGATTCCACCGAACTGTAGAACCAGAGGGGCCTGGAGGCTGCTTAGTCCAAACCCTTCATCTTACAGAGGAAGAAACTGAGGCCTGGGGAAACCAAACAGTCCCGCAGATACTGCTCTCAGATCCCCAGATTCCCAGGGTGGACGTTGTATACCGTTCTGTCGCTGCCCTCTATGGAGCTAAACGGTGCCTGAGGGCTCTGCTTTTTCATGCGTTTAAAGGGGGGTTCTGGATTGTGAATTTAGTGAGAATGGTGGGTTATTTCTGGATCGATTCCACGAACATGTAATGCTTCTTTTGAGGGATCCGGGTCCTCCCAAGGCTGCTAGAATAGCTAGCTGGTTCCTCAGTGCAACTAGGCCTAGCCGAGTTCTCCTAAGGGTTCACCCCAATCCTCTAGGGGAATTCTGTCCTGAATTCCATGTTATCTACATTCAGCAGGTTGGGGAGCAGGGCTGTCGACACAGGGTGGAGGAAAAGGTAAACTTTCTTAGTTTACCTTGCTGAGCCATCCTTCACCCTGTGTCTCACCCCTCCCCTGCCAGGGAAGATGGGTTACCTCAGATCTGGGGAAAGGAAGGCTCATGCCTTCAGGAAGCTGGGGTATGATGGGGGTCTTGAAAGATCATGGTTGTGAGGCAGAGGAATTCGGGGCAGGGAACAGAGGTTTGCTTCTCTGATATACCAAAGCAGAGAAGAGAAGGGTAATTCCCAGGCTGCCGTGATTGTAACCCCCGCCCCATCCTCCATGCCATTTCTCCTCAGCTCTAGGCAGAAAACTCTGCCCTCTTTCCTCTTTCCCCAGGGAATCCCTATTATTGACCAGGTCCAAGGAAGGTCCCCTGGTAAGAAATCGTGCCTCCCTCAGCCCTCCATTAGTCAGGAACAGGAAGGAACTGGGAGAATTAAAGCCCTTAGTTCAACCTGGTAGCCAGGACCCATCCTCTCAGCTACCCATTTGTCCCCGGAGCTGGTAAGAAGTCAAAAAGAAAAATTGTGTTTCCTCTTCATTCCCAGCCACTGTGTCCCCAATTTCCCTACCCCTCATTCATAGCCTAGAGAAGAAGGAGAAGCGGGATGCTAGAAACAGTTGCTAGATTCCATCTCCCCTCTGGCTAGTGGCTTCTCCTTCCCTCTCCCCTCCCCCATCGTTATTGTTTAATCATGTCGACTCTTTGTGACCCTATTTGGGGTTTTCTTGGCAAAGATACTAGAGTGAGTTGCCGTTTCCTTCTCCAGCTCATTATAAAATGAAAAAAACTGAGGTAAACCGGGTTAAGTGACTTGCCCAGGGTCCCATAGCTGGTGTGTCTGAGGCCAGATTTGAAGATGAGTCTTCCTGACCCCAGGCCCAGTGCAGTATCTACTGTGCCACCTGGCTGTCCCCCTCCCCCATTACTACATATAGATATATGTATGTATGTATATATGTGTGTGTATATATATAGATACATATAGATTTTAATTTACTTATCTCTGCACATATTGTTTCTCCCAATAGGATATAAACTCCTTGAGAACATGGATTTTTTTTTTGGGGGGGGGTCTTTGTTTCTCCAGAGCCTTGCATAGTGCCTGGCATACACTGGGCTAGGGGGCTAGAGCTAGGGATTGGATCTATGATTTCAAGGGTATAAGCAGCCCCTGCTTAAGGAAGCTCCCTTTACCGGATGTAGAATGACACCATGCCTGCAATTTAGAGTTGCCTAGAGCCTAATGCCCTGTTCAGTCACATGCCATTATGTGTAAGAAGTGGGATTTGAACCCAGGTCTTCCTGGCACATAGTAGCCACTTAATAAATGTTGTTGTTGAATAAATAAGCTGGTGGATAAGTGTCCAGGGTAGTCTTGAATGGCTTCTCTCCCTAGCCCTGCTTTGTGGCTTGGGCCAAGTCATTGACCCTTTCTTTGTTTATCTGACTGAGCCATCCTTCTCCCTACCCTCACCCCCAGGGAAGATGGGTTACCTCAGATCTGGGAAAAAGGAAGGCTCCTGTGCCTTCTGAAACAGTTCAGGGGCTTCCCCAACTTGTTCTCCTAGGAACAAGATCACAGTTGCCTTCTGTTACCTCCTCCCCGTGGTTCCCAGTGTCTCAAGGTCTTTATACACATCCTCAATATTCCCATCTGATCCCCTGCCTTTTCCTCACTCCAGCTTATACCCTCTGACAATTCTCCTCTTCTCTCCCAGCTCCCTTGGTCCCAGGTCCTCATGAGGCTAGAACAGCAGCCGCCTCCTGGCTCTTTGGTCCCCTGGACATCACCAGGGGCAGTGCCAGGTCACCAGGGGCAGTGCCAGGTCACCATTCATTAAGCAAGCATTAAGCACCTATTGTGTGCCAAATACTGGGGATCGTAAACAAAAATGAAAGAACTTGCCTTCAGAGAACTTTATTGTATTGAAAGGAAATAATGTGCAGAGACAGGTAAGAGGCAGGGCCTAGGCCTGAGATTTCAGTGGTATATAGGAACTCTCAGGAGAGGAAACTCCACCAGTGCAGGTTGGCACATTTGCTATGACTTACATTCTTTTACTTTGGGGGGGGGGTTGGTAGGCAATGGGGTTAAGTGACTTGCCCAAGGTCACACAGCTAGCGTCAAGTGTTTAAGGCCAGATTTGAACTCAGGTCCTCCTGACTCCAGGGCCGGTGCTCCATCCACTGGGCCACCTACCCGCTCCTATGACTTATATTCTTAAAGAGTGGCCTAGGAATTGAAAGGTTAAGTTACTTGCTCAGGGTTAAACAGCCATTATTACATTACATTGAACCTAGGTCTTCTTGGCTCCAAGGCCATTTCTGTATCTACTATGTCACATTGCCTCTCTGTTCGTAGAGAAATGAATATAACATATGTACAAATTGCCTTTTAAAAGCAAAGCAGTGGGGAGGGGAAGGACTAACAGTTATGGGGAGGGAGGAACTGCAGTGATTGGTGTGCACTCAATATGAAACAAGCTGGCCCCAGTACCAGATGATCCCCCACCTTCCAAGGCCTCCTACCCTCCAGTCATACCCCACGATCCCAGGGTCTCCGGCATCCTCTCTGGCCCTTTGACTGCAAGAAGGCATTGAGTTCCAGTTCTCTTGAAGAGCTGGCCCCTTAAGACCCACCTTCCCCTCCCCGATGGTTCCCTGAGAAGGGCAGGGGTGTGCTGATAAATGTTTAACAACTGGCTCTCCAAAAAACATAAGAAGACAAAACCAAAAACCCTTGAAAATGTTTGTAGGATACACTTTCAAGTTTAATCTGCGTTATTAGTTTTTTCCATCTGTTTATTAAGTCTAAACAATCAATAAGACAATAAATCAAGCCATGATTTGTGGTGTTTGCTAATTTCTGGGGTGTAAATACTCCCTGAAAATTCAGCAGTCAGCTCTGTGAGTCAGTTCAAGCTGGCTTCAACACATCCCTCCCAGGGGACTGGAGATGGAGGTGCTGGACTTAGGGACCAGAAAAGGGCCCTTTGTGCCCTTTCACCACAATGAGCTGTTTGGGCTGGAAGCTGGGCTGAAGGGTACTCAACTGCTGAATTGGGGTCTGTCTAGCAGGCAAGCCCGAACAGATTCCCCAGCTCCTGCATAGGGAGTTGTGGACCAGAAGGGTGGGCGGTGGCTCTGGCCCTGGTCTGAAGGACCTCAAGCTGGCTCTTGGAGCACCTCCTTCCACCTACCCAGGACCAAAGAAATGTTGATGCCTTTCCCGTGAAGCAGGGGCTCTTAACCTTGTTTTTGTCCTATCCCACTTTGGCAGTTTGGTGAAGCCTGTGGGAACCCTTCTCAGAATACTGTTTTTAAATGCATAGAATAATAGAATTGCAAAGAAAACCAATTATGTTGAAATAGTTATCAAAAAAAATTTTTTTTAAAAAACAATCTCATGGATCCTAGATTAAGAATCCCACCCTGCCCTAGAAGATCCTTCAAATAAAATCTTCCAAGATCTTTCTGTTCCTGTAGACTTAGAGCCAGAAGCAACGGGGAAGGGAGGATTGTGGTAATGAGGAAGGGCTTCCCGGGGGCTATGAGTCACAGTGATTGTCTCTGCCTCTCCCCAGGCTGATCTTTGGCACGCTGTACCCAGCCTACTCGTCCTATAAGGCTGTCAAGACAAAAAATGTGAAGGAATATGTGAGTGTGTGGGGCTCCCTGCCTCCTGAGGTGGGGGGTGGGTATGATCTGACCCCCAGGGTCAGAGTGGGATGGGGAGCTGGGGGAGGGGCGTGTGACCTCCATGACTCCTCCCACACACCTCCTGCTGTGCCCACAGGTGAAGTGGATGATGTACTGGATTGTGTTTGCCTTCTTCACCACTGCTGAGACTCTCACGGACATTGTGCTATCCTGGTAAGCGCTGTCCCTGGCCCACGCCCACGTGCTCACAAACCCCCTTCTCAGCTTTCTTCAGGGTCCCTCACATAAAGAGTGCCGCACACCTACCCAGACTCTCCTGGGGTAAGCAGAGAATGGAGACTCCAGAGTCAAGTCAGGAAATTTTTCTGGAGCTCTTGTACCCTGTGCCCAGTATAGGCTCTCATCTCCTTCCTCTTCTTATTATAGCAATAATAATGCCCTCTCATGTTTGCATTAGTATTTTATGCTTTTCAAAACCCTTTTAGATCCTTCATTAGATCATGATAACACTCCTGAGAGATTAGGCAGGGCAAGACTTATTACCCCCACTAGACAGGTCAAGATACTCAGATTCAGAAAGGATAAATGACTCAGAGGCAGCGTGGTACAGTGGAAAGGAAGGAAAGAAGTGAGCACGTGCCAGGCACTGTGCTAAGTGCTTAATATCTCATAATCTTCATAACAGAGGCAGGTGCTATTAATATTCTCATTTTACAGATGAGGAAACTGAGGCAGGCAGAGGCTACATGATTTGCCCAAGGGTCACACAGTTAGTAGCTGCCTAAGGCTGGATTTGAACTCAGATCTTCTTGACTCCAGGCCACAAGACTCTATCCACTGGGCCATCTAGCAGCCTTTAGAAAAGAACATTGAACCTGGAGTCAGATGACATACTTGTACAGATCACCACTTTGGCAAGTCACTTAACACCCCTAAGCCTCAGTTTTCCCATCTATAAAATAAGGAGGTTGGACTGGATAGTCTCTAGGGCCCTTTCTAGGTCTAGACCTAGTGTGATGGTATGAAGCACAGGACCTCAGAGCTCATCAATTCCAAGCCATAGATGGCCAACAGTCTTATGATAGCTGTGTGGCCTCCATGAGAAATCTCTGATGTTGGGAAAGCTCACTACCCCCCTCACCCACCCCCCACCCCCAATTAAACAAACACTTCCTATATTTTAGGCACTGTGCTGGCCATTGGGGATACAAAGAGAGACAAATACTGTCCCTGCTCTTAAGGAGCTCATTACATACAGACAAGATATATTGGATAAATTGAAGGTGGTCATGGGGGAAGCATTAGGATTAAGGAGGACTGGGAAAGGCTTCTTGCAGAAGGTGGGACTTTAGGAAGTGAGATTTTAAGAAACCCAGGGGAAGCCAGGAGTTGATCAGGGAGAGGATTCCAGGCATAGGGTCAGCCAGTGAAAATTCAAAGAGAGGAGGAAGGGAAAGAATTGGGAACTCAAAGTTTTAAAAATAAATGTTAAAAATTGTTCTTACCTGCAACTGGGAAATAAGATATATAGGCAGTGGGGTATAGAAATCTATCTTGCCCTACAGGAAAATAGAAGGGGAAGGGGATAAGAGAAGGGGAGGGGGTGATAGAAGGGAGGGCAGATTGGGGAAGGGATATTCAGAATGCACGCTGTCTTGGGGTGTGGGGGAGGGGTGAGATGGGGAGAAAATTTGGAACTCAAAATCTTGTGGAAGTGATGTTGAAAACCAAAAATAAATTAATAAAAAATTTTAAAAGAAGAAAATTCAAAAAGATAGGAGATGAAGTGTCTGCAAGAACAGCCAGGAGGTCAGTGTCACAGGATTGCAGAGTATATGGAGGGGAGTACATTTTAAGATAACTGGAAAAGTAGGAAGGGGCAAGGTTATGAAGAGCTTTAAAAGCCAGAGGATTTTATATTTGATCCTGGGAAGTAATGTAGAACCAGCAGAGTTTATTGAATTGGGAGGTGAGGGGGTAGGGGCCAGGGTGCTCGGCACCTGTGTGTCAGACCATGCACTTTAGGAAGATCTATTTGACAGCCAGTGGAGGATGGCCTGTAGTGAACAGAGACTTAAGTCAGGGAGACCAACCAAGAGGGTATTGTAGTCGTCAATGTGTGAGGTGATGAGGCCTTATAAGAAAGTGGTGGCAATATCAGAGGAGAGAAGGAAGCGTGTACCGGAGACGTCACAAAGGGAAAATCAACAGGCCTTGACTGACTGACTATGGGAGGTAAGAGAGTAAGGAGTCAAGGATGACCCTTAGGTTGTGAGCCTGGGTGACTGATGAGATCACCAAGTAAGATGATATCAAGGGAAGAAGAGAAGAGGGCCCAGGACAAAGCCTCGATGGGCACCGTCCAGCAAAGGAGACTGAGACAGAAACAGAGAACTAGGAGCGTCATGAAAACCTAGACAAGCTGCAGGGAGGTCAAGAAGGATAAGGACTGAGAAAAGGCCATTGGATTTGGTGATTATGAGATCATTGATCACTCTGGAAAGAGAAGTTTGAGTTTAGTGATGAGGTCAGTCAGTGAACATTCATTAAGTGCCTACTCTGTACTAGGTACTCTGCTAAGTTTTGGAGATACAAAAAGAGGCAGAAGACAGTCCCTGCCCTCAAGGAGCCTACAATAACATGAGGAAACATGCAAACAAACATGTACAAACAAGCTACATACAGGATAAATAGGAAATAATTAAGAGAAGGAAGGCACTAGAATGAAGAAGGATTGAGAAATTGTAGAAGATAGGATTTTAGTCGGGACTTAAAGGATGCCAGGGAGGTCAGCAATAAGAGCAGAGGGGAAGAGAGAGAGAGAGCACATCAGGCATTGGGACAGCTAGAGAAAATGCCACAAGTGAGAGAGAGAGCAGTTTGTGGAGCAGCCAGAAGGTGTAAGCAGACTGGGAAGGTAGAAAGGGGCTAGGACGAGGGCTTTGCACACCAAACAGATTTTTGTGTTTGGTCCTGCAGGTGACAGGGATCCGCTGCAGTCTGTTGAGTAGGGGCATGATGTGGTTGGACCTGTGCTTTAGGAAAACCAGTTAGGTGGCTCGAATGGAAGATGGAATGGAGTGGGGACGTGAGACAGGCAGACCCCCCAGCAGGCATGAGGCGATGAGGGCTGCACTGGAAGATACTGAGGAGAGAAGGGATGTATTAGAAAGATGTTGTAAAGGTAAAATCGACAGATTGGATTGGGGAATGAGGTGGAGGTGGAGGGGCAGGGAAGGGGACAAGGTAGAATCAAGGATAACTGGTAGGTTGTGAACCTGAGGGACTGAGGGCATGGTGTTGCCCTCCACAGTAACAGAGAAAGTAGAAAGTGGGAAAGGTTTAGGACGGGGTGGGGAACCTGGGGCCTCAAGGCCCTCTGTGGCCCTCTAGATCCTCAGGTGCAGCCTTTTCACTGAGTTCAAGTTTTACAGAACAAACCCTTTTATTTGTTCTGTGAAGTTTGGATTCAGTCGAGGCCGCAGGTTGCCCACCCCTGGTTTAGGAGGAAAGATAATGAGATCAGTTTTGGATGTGTTAAGTTTAAGATGTCTGAAAGGCAGCTGGACGTGTGAGATTGGAGGTCAGCAGAGAGGTTAGAGCAGGATAGGTAGATCTGAGAATCCTTAGTACAGAGATGGCAATTAAATGCATGAAATCAGATGAGATCAAGTGAGACAGTATAGAGAGGAAAGAGAAGAGGGTGCAGGACAGAGCTCTTTGGGATACCTACAACAGAGGGCAAGGATGTTGTTGTTGAGTTATTTCAGTCATGTCGGACTCTTCGTGACCCCATTTGGGGTTTTCTTGGCAGAGATACTGGAGTGGCTCATCATTTCCTTCTCCAGCTTATTTTACAGATGACTTGCCCAGGGTCACACAGCTAGGAAGTGTCTGAGGCCAGATCTGAACTCAGGAAGATGAATCTTCCTGACTCCAGACCCAGTGCTGTATCCACTTCACCACCTCACTGCCCATAGGGTGAGGAGGAGGATCCAGCAAAGGAGACTGAGAAGGAATGGTGAGATGGTAGGAGGAGGAAAAAATGACGTCCCAAAAACTGAGAGAGAAGAAAAAACCGAGGAGGAGAGGATGATTGACATTGTCAGAGGCTTCAGAGAGGTCAAGGAGAATGAGGATTGAGAAAAGGCCATGAGATTTGGCAACTTTGGAGAGAGCTGTTTCGGTGGAATGGTAAGATCAGAAGCCAGATGGTAAGGGGTTAGAAAGAGAGTGAGAGAAGGGAAAGTGGAGGCACCTATTGTAGACAGCCTTTTAAGAGGAATCTTCTATAAAGGGCAGAAGAGATATAGGGTGATAATTAGGGATAGAAAGGTCAAGTGAGGGTGTTTTTCAGGTTAGGGGTACATGGGCATGTTTATATGCAATAAGGAATAGAGCCAGTTGAGAGGAAGAGATTGAAAGTAAGTGGAAGAGTGGGCATGATGGGGGGGGCAGTCTGTTGAAGGAGACAGGATGGAATGGGATCAGTTGACTAGATAGAGGGGTTAGCCTTGGTAAGGAGTAAAATGCCTTCATCACGTGAGGCAGGGGTGAAGGAGAAGATAGTGGGTGGTAGAAGGCCTCATGAGATGATGAAGAAGAGAGAGGGACCACATCAAATAGCCTCAATTTTTTTCTGTCAAATATGAGACAAATTTCTCAGCTGAGAGGATGGGGAAGGGGGAGCCATAAGAGGTTCAGAAGTGCCACTGTGGAGAGTGGAATAGTGAGGTGATGAGGAAGGTACTATAAGATTGCCTGGTGGTAGTAAGGGCCAGTTGTGGTTGTGTAACATCCATTTGTAATGGACCCAGTCGGAACAGCTGCATGATTTTCTGCACCTCAGTTCAGCAGCAGATGTGTAGAAGCGAAGGCGGTGGATAGTGAGAGTGGTCCGAGGCTGAGGCTTGGCAGGGCACAGTTTTCAAATTGGGCTTGGCCTTGGGAATCAAGGGAAGAATTTGTTCACTAAGAGGTCAAAATGAGGAAAAGAGGAGAGAGTGGCTAGTCCAGGGGAGATGACTTAGGAGAGGATGGAGGAGGGGTCAAGGGATTGGAGGTTAGAGTGTGAATGAAGGGTAGAGTTTTGTAAGGGAAGGCAGAGGGAGAGGTGGAAAGCCAATAGGTTATGGAGGTGGTACATTTATGGATGTTGGTAAGATCAAGGATATGACCATCTTTGTGTATGACTGAGGTAGGGTAGAGGAGTAGGTCTTGGGAAATGAGTGGGTTAAGGATATTTGAGAGAGAGAGAGTCAATGTGTATGGTGGGTAGTCTTTTAGTGTTAGGGCAAGAGTTGGGGAGAAGAGAAAGATTGTGAGCCGTATACAGAATTCATTGAGAAAGGAAAGGAAGGGACCTAGAGACTAGGATTACTAGGATTTTGGCCAAGTGATAGAGATGAATAGCATAAACTTCGAAGGAGGAGAAGTTACTGAATGATAGGGATAGGGAGAAGACTGGAAGTGGCAATGGGGAGCAAGGAGTAGTGGAAAGGCAAGGTAGTGTTTGGTTGGAACTTTAGGGTAGGAGGGTTGAGGGGGATGGGAATAAGGAACTGGCTGGGGGGGAATGGGGCTTGAATGATGACCTACAGGGCTTCAGAATGACTGAAGAAGTTTGAATTGAATGATGCGGTCAGAAGGAAGAATGAAGGGAGTTAAGGGGGGGGCGAGGAGCAGAGCCAAGATGGCAGAGTGAAAGCAGTGACTTGTTTGAACTTTCCCCCAAAGCCCTCCAAATACTTATAAAAATGGCTCTAAACAAATTCTAAAGCAAAGTCTAAAACAAAAAGACAGAGTGAAACAAATTTCCAGCCCAAGACAACCGGGATGGTTGATCAGAAAAGTATATTACACCGGGTGGGAAGAGGAGCGCAGTGTGGCGTGGGCGCACAGGCCGCAGTGAGCCTGGAGCAGGCCTCAGAGGAATGAATCATGGGCAGCTGTGGAAGTTTCCAGACTTCTCAACCCACGACCGTCAAAGGCAACTTAGAAGGTCAGTGGGAAAAGTCTGTGTCTGCAGTGAGAGAGAGAAGCAAGGTGGTCTTAGCTCTAGTTCCCGAGCTTCGCCCTGGGGCGGCGGCTGCCTCCTGAGCTTCTGGCCCACAGACTGAGGGGAAATCGAGTGGCTGATCAGAGGGGGATTGCAGGAATCGCCCTGCTGGTGCAGGATTCTCTTGCTTTGTCCGTGCTTGGATCTGGGTCACAGTTCTGGGTGGCAGTCCTGGGGCAAGGAGGAGCACTGGCGTGGTGGAGCTTGTAGTGGCTGTGAAGGGCAAATCCTCATAGTTCCCAAGACAGAAAAGGTGCTTGTGGTCACCCACAGACCAGAGCACAGGCCAGGAAAGGAGTCGACACCTCGCCCTTGATCATAGCACCTTGGAAGAACTGAAATTTACAGGTCCCTAGAAGTATCTCTGAAAACAGCTGCACAAAACCCCTGAAAGCCTGGGACAGTACATTCTCCACACTGGAAACAGACTCCTACCTTAATAAAGAGTTTATAACTCAAGTAATTAGCCAAGATCATGAGCAAGCAGCGCAAAAAGAGTCAGACTATATTATCTTACTTTAGTGACAAAGAAGATCAAAACATACAACCAGAAGAAGACAATGAAGCCAAAGCTCCTACATCCAAAGCCTCCAAGAAAAATATGAATTGGTCCCAGGCCATGAAGAGCTCAAAAAGGATTTTGAGAAGCAAGTAAGAGAAGTAGGGGAAAAACTGAGAGTGATGCTAAAGGAGACCCAAAAAATATTGAAGAAAATAACACCTTAAAAAATAGCCTAACCCAAATGAAAAAGAGGTCCAAAAAGCCAATGAGGAGAAGAATGCCCTAAAAAGCAAAATTGGCCAAATGGAAAAGGAAGTCCAAAAGCTTACTGAAGAAAATACTTCCTTAAAAATTAGAATGGAGAAATTGGAAGCTAGTGACAATTTGAGAAATCAAGACACTGTAACACTAATCCGAAAGAATGAAAAAAATAGAAGAGAATGTGAAATATCTCATTGGAAAAACAACTGACCTAGAAAATAGATCCAGGAGAGAGAACTTAAAAATTATTGGACTGTCTGAAAGCCATGATCAAAAAAAAGCCTAGACATCATCTTTCAAGAAATTATCAAGGAAAACTGCCCTGATATTTTAGAACCAGAGGGCAAAATAGAAATGGAAAGAATCCACCGATCACCTCCTGAAAGAGATCCCCAAAGGAAAACTCCTAGGAATATTGTAGCTAAATTCCAGAATTCCCAGGTCAAGGAGGAAATATTGCAAGCAGCCAGAAAGAAACAATTCAAGTATTGTGGAAACACAATCAGGATAACAAAAAATTTAGCAGCTTCTACATTAAGGGTCCAGAGGGCATGGAGTATGATATTCTGGAGGGCAAAGGAGATAGGATTACAGCCAAGAATCACTTACCCAGCAAAACTGAGCATAATCCCTCAGGGGGAAAAATGGTCATTCAGTGAAATAGAGGACTTCCAAGCATTCTTGATGAAAAGACCAGAGCTGAATAGAAAATTTGACTTTCAAATACAAGACTCAAGTGAAACATAGAAGAGATAAACAGGAAAGAGAAATCATAAGAGACTTATTAAGGTTGAACTGTTTACATTCCTGCAGGGAAAGATGATAATTTGTAACTCATGAGATCTTTGTCAGTATTAGGGTAGTGGGAGGGAAAAAAATTGTATGTATGTATAGATAGATAGATAGAGGGCACAGGGTGAGTTGAAGATGAAGGAGTGATGTCTGGAAAATAAAATTAAGGGGTGAGAGAGCATTGATTATACTGAGAGGAGGAGAAAGGGGGAAGTAGAATGGGGTAAATTATCTCACATGAAACAGACAAGAAAAGGCTTTTACAGTGGAGGGAAAATGGGGGAAGGTGAGAGGGAATGAGTGAATCTTATTCTCATAGGATTTGGCTTAAGGAGGGTTAGGGTTAGGGTTACACAATGGGTATGGAAATCTATCTTGCCCTGGGAAGAATGGGGGGGAGGGGGATAGGAGGGGGGAGTTGATGGAGGGGAGGGCAGATTGGGGGAGGGGATGGTCGGTGGCAGGCAGTTCTGGGGAGGGACAAGGTCAGGGGAGAGGGTGGAGTGGATGGGGGGTGGGATAGGATGGAGGGAGGTATACTTAGTTTTTTGCACAGGACTACTGTGGAGGTGTTTTGCATGACTGCATGTCTGTGACCTGTATTGAGATGCTTGCCTTTTCAGTAGGGTTGCGTAGGGAGGGAGGAAGGGAGGGGATTTGTAGCCCAGGGTTTTAAAAACATATGTTAAATATAAAAATAAATAAAAAATTTTTTTAAAATAGAGTTAAGGAAGAGAGGAAAGGAAATGGAGGCATCAGTTGCAGACAACTTTCTCAAGAAGTTGAGCCATGAGGGAAAAGAGAGATATCACAGGGTAGCTAGTAAGCAAGATGAGATCAAGTGAGGGGTTTTGAGCAGGGAATGAGACAGGGAGAGACTGAAAATTCACGAGAAAGAGGGGATGGCACAGAGAGCAATCTGCTGAAGAAGACATGAAGAAACGGGATCACTTGTGCATGAGAAGGGCTTACCTTGGCAAGGAGGATAGATGTGAGCTGGAGACGAAGGAGATGATGGCAGAAGGCCACTGTGTGAGATGAGGAAATGGGGAGAGGAGGGAACTCTTGTCCAGTGGCCTTCATTTTTTCAGTGAAATATGACAAGGTTCTCAGGAGAAAGGGTGGGAGAAGGGAGCCATAGGAGGTTTGAGAAGTGGGCCCCCTTGAGTTTACAGAACATAGATTTGTAATGGACCCAGTCGGCATGCTTTCATGATTTTCCCTAGCTCACTTCAGCAGCACATGAATAGAAGTGAAGGCAGCAGGTGGTTGGGTTCAAGGCAAAGGCTTGGAAGGGCAAAATCAGTAATGGGATGAAGGGGAAAGGGCTTGGAGAGATGAGGACAGTATAAAGTTGAACTCATTCACCAAGGAATTGCAAGCCAGAAGGGAGGAGAGCGTAGGGCCGACAGCCTGGGAAAGGCCAGGGAGGGGGAAGGCCCAAGACAGCCTGTTGTACCTGGGGGCAGCCTTATTGTTAATAATAATAGCCAGCATTTCTAAAAGGTTTGAAGATTTGCAAAAGATTTTATGCATGTTGTCTTTTTTGAGTCTCACAAAACCCCGAGAGGCAGGTGTTATTCTCATCCCCATTTTATTTTTTTTTCCTGATTTTTCTGTCATACACTCCCCGTATCATATGACAATCAGGTACTTCCTTAGTGGCATCTACCTACCACTTCAATCACACTGATAAGTACTCTAGGACATTTAATATCATATTCGTGGCATATTGTTAAGTACAGTAGAATAAACTTATAATGGCCAGCCACGAGCCTTTGGTAAGAATGGGTAGTGGTATCACATTTTCTGAAAATGGATTAATTCACATGTTGAAACCACATGTAAGTTTTCAATTTTAAGTCTAAATAAAGCCTTTCTCCTTTCTTTAGAATACAGTTATACAGCTATCCTTTCAGATGCTGTTTTATGGTTTCGGAGAAGGAGAAAGGTCTATCTCAACCATAAATGATGATTTTTTTCCCCCCTTTCCTAAATGGAGATGGGTTCTCATCCCCATTTTAAAAATGAAGAAACTAGGGCCAAGAAAGGTTGCCCAGGCTCACACACTGAGTAAGCATCTGAGTCAGGATCTGAACTCATGTCTTCCTGAGTCTAGCCATCCATTCCCCATGCCTCCTCACTGCCTAGGTCCAGCCCCAGCCTTCTTCTTAGCACCCTCTACTGCTGCTCCCAGTTCTGCCTTCTGAGGCCCAACAGAACTAGTCCAGTGTCTCTCCTTCATGACAGCCCTTCAGATGCTTAAAGAGTACTTGGCCAAGGTCACTTAGCTATTGGTGATGGAACTAAGGCTGGAGCTCAGGCCACCTGACCCCTGTCCAGGTCTTTCTCCCTCCCCAACATCTTAATACACTACTTGGCCTTTCAACAGGTTCCCTTTCTACTTTGAGCTGAAAATTGCCTTTGTGATCTGGTTGCTGTCCCCATATACCAAGGGCTCCAGTGTGCTCTATCGAAAATTTGTACATCCTACACTCTCCAACAAGGAAAAGGTTTGGCCCCTGTTGCCCTCCCTCTTCCCCTTTCAAACCAATGGACCTTTTCTCCCAAGTCATTGCCCAAGATGGGAGGGGGAAAGAAGGGGCTCAGTGTCAGTCTGGGGCTTGTCATCTCCAGGTGCCATTGTCCTGGAACAGCAACCTCAGGGGACTGAGACACCCAGGATGGGCAGGCAGGCAGTGCCCAGGCTGTCCTCCAGGGCTCCCAGACACTACCACCTGGGTGGGGCTTGGGGAGAAGGGCTCCATAACTTGGGACGGGACCTTTCATCAGAGGGGGCTCAACTACTCACTCCATCCTCCTCCCCTGTCACAGGAAATTGATGAATACATCACACAGGCCCGGGACAAGAGCTATGAGACCATGATGAGGGTGGGCAAAAGGGGCTTGAACTTGGCAGCCAACGCTGCGGTTACTGCAGCTACCAAGGTAACAGAAGGCCCAGGATCAGGACGTGGGGTCTCCGGGCTTTCATCACCCCCCCCAGCCACATTGCCCCCTTTCTCCCCAATGTCTCACAAGCACCTTCCGCTCAGCTCTCATTGTCTCCCTCTTGGCTCTCTGAGGGAAGTCTGTGCCCCTTCTCTGTGAGCCTGTCTTTTCTGTTGTCCTCACTGGTCAGGAGAGGCTTTCTCTCTTTGAAGTATATGTTTATCACCTGCCCAGGGCCAGGGAGTGTTGTCAGAAAAGCTGAGAAGCTTCAGCATGCAAGATTTGACTCTGATCCGAGATGATGAAGCCTTGCCCCTGCATGGTTCTGATGGCCGGCTCCGACCCTCAGCCAGTGGCCTCCTGGACCCCATTGAGGACTTAGGTACCTGGCAGGACTAGACGGAGATGGGAGGGGAGATCAAGGGGAATAGCACCCAGGACGTGGAGGGGACCCCCAAGCCAGAGGAAAGGCAGAAAGGACTGGGGCTACAGTAGATGAGTATCATGTGCCTTGGTTTTCCTCAGTTCCCCAGTAGCCTCCACATGGTCCCCCTTGCTTCTAGCCTTACTCTGCCTCTCCCCTAGGGGATGACCCTGGCCTGAACCTTCGGTCCTCAAGTGGGAGCCAGTCAGACCCGAGAACAGAGGCCTCTGAGGATGACATGGGGGACAAGACCCCTAAGCGAGTCAAATCAATCAAGAAAGTGCCAAAAGCTGAGGTGAGGCCCAAGTTCCTTCCCCTATAGCCCCACCCCACTGGTCTTTCTGACTTCAGTTGAGGTCCCTGCATGGAGCAAGGGGAAAGGGAAAAAGGTGATGAAGTATCTTAAAGGGAATCCTCCCTCCCAAGCACTAAACCCCATCCCCTCCCCTTACAGCCAATCCCCAAGACGCTGAAGACCCGCCCTAAGAAGAAACCCACAAGTGGGGGAGAGTCGGCCTGATGTGAGCTTTCCCCCCCAACTCTGCGCAGAGACCCCAGTGGGGGGAGTCATGTACAGAACTGCTGCTGCTTCCTAGATTGAGGGGTCCCCAGGGCGAGGGCAACTCCTGGGGATCCATATCCTCAGACATACCCTCCATGGGAGCAGCCCCTGCCCCCACCCCTTTTTCTCACTGGCTGAGTCTGAGGACCAAGATGTGAGATGCTGCCTCTGGGGTCTCCCAGTGAGACGTCTGGCCAGGGTTGGGTGGGCAGGTATGAGGGATCACAGGTCTGAGAGCTGTTTAGAGTAAGCTGACTGGGGCCAGGCATTTTCTTGCTTTGGGTGGCTGGTTTGGGAACACAAGGGCCAAGGTTGGGAAGGGGGGTGGAGGAGGTTGTTATGTCCATGGAAGAACTGCCCACTTGGAATAGCAGTATTTGGGGCCTCTCTGGTTGGAGGCTTGATGTGTGTGTGTGTGTGTGTGTGTGTGTGTGTGTGTGTGTGTGTGTGTGTGTGTGTGTGTGTGTAAGAAGAAGGATCCTGAGGACAAAGCCACATGGGGGACCCATCAGAGCATCCTTCCTTTGTCTTTGTCCTCCAGCCTTCCTTCTTGAGTGACCTCCCCCACTCTAGCCCACTTAGTGCCTTGCTGGGTGCCAGGGCATGCTATGGGGGAAAGGGCTAAAGGCCAGAGTTCTTCCAGCCTTACCTCATATATTCTGCCCCTCTTCACCCATCCTTTTTTTTAGTAGATCTTGGCTGCCCCATATCCTCTGGCTGATATAGGCTGGCTGAAAAATGGGCTGATGGGCTAAGCCCCTAGAAGACTTCTCCTCCCCCATGCGAAGTTGAGGGAGTGAGAACACCGGGACCATATTGCCTCTAGATTAAAAGGGATTGGATAGAAAGAGCAATTTCCCATTGAAAACCCAAAGTAACTAGCCAGGATTTGGGATGGGGTGGGGGAAGGGGGAGATCAGGGCCTATCTGAATCTACACTTTCCTGTGCTCTCCTCCCAGAGGCCATTTCCTTGAATAATCTCTCTTTTCCTCTCCCTCCCCCTCTCAACTTTCCCCCTCCTCCAGCTTCTATTCATCTAGTTCCAAGGGTGAGGGTGGGGGGTGGGGAGTGGGGAGAAGAGTCCCTTGGGACATTTGAAGAAGCAAAATAGCCGAAATAGCCGTGATTGACTTGGGCAAGGGGTGGGAGAGGGCGAAAGGGGGGGGGAAGGATGGGAAGCTGTGCCTCTCTGAGTGAACATATGAAACGCTAAGTGTGAGCGTATATGAGCAATTGTGTGTGTGTGTGTGTGTGATGTTTTAAGTGGGGAGCTTTCCTTGCAAAGCCAGGCATGAGGCGGGACAAAGTAAGTATGTGTTTTTGCCAGGACACATGCATGTCCCAGCTATGTAGTCTCATCTCCTGGGCTGGGAAGAAGAAGACACCTGTATTGTGTCTTTACACACATTCACGTGTTGCTCCTTGGGTCTGCGTCTTTACCTCTGGGTCTCGGTCTTGACCAATGTCTTTGCATCTCTGTGCATGTCCCCATATTCCCTGTTCCCCTCTGCCCCTACTTCTCCCAGTGCTGGGGTCAGCCATAGAGGTAGAGGCTCTAAGAATTCTTATTCTAGTGGCCATTAGCCCTTTCCCTGCTCTCTGTTTCCACACTCCATCCTGCAGCTACCCCCAGCTCCAGCTCCTGTCTGCCTCAGGAGAATCGTGAGGACTGGAGGGGGATGGTGGGAGGCACTCCCCAAGCTCTAGTCCTGACTTCCCCTCCCATCTCTCCGCAAGCCCATTCCTGCCTGGGCCCTACCGGAACAAGAGAGCAGAGAGAAAGGATTTCCCAGGGGCCCCTCCTCCACAGAAGGAGCTACTGATGGGAACAGGACTTGGATTGTGGGGTCGGTCCCTTCATTCCTTCCCTGCCCTCACCTTCCTGTTAGCTCCTGTCTTTCCTCCTCCCCCAGCAGTGATTATACTGACCTGACCCCAGGCCAGGAGGATTTCAGAAATTCGGTCCTAGGTTTCCCACGTGTAGAGTGAGTTGGGGAGGGAGCGTATGTGTGTGTGGGTGTGTGCGGGTGTGTGTGCCGTGCATTGGGAGAAGTGAGGGAAGGGAAAGCTTGGACCCTTGGCCGTGGGGTGATCCAATAAATTAAAATTCGGCACCCTGTTGTTTCTTTGTTCCCCAGCCCGAATGGAAGTAAGGTGGGGGCAGGCTTGGGGAGAAAAGCCGAGACTGGCCTGTACTGGGCCTGGACCGCCTCCTCAGGCGTGTAACCCAGAGGAAGGAAGAGGGGAACCACCTCTACTCCCCAAAGTCAGCAGAAGAATGAGGGAGAGGTGAGACTAGAGTCAGCTCTTCCCCAAGAAGATAAGAGATGTTAAGGGGGGGGGCACGTTTGATTGTGTTCCCTGATATACAGCAAGAACAGGAGGAACTGAGCCTCCTGGCCCGTATCACTGACCAAGCAGAAGCCAAGCAAAAGGGCGGTGTGGTGTATGTGTCCTTGAAGGGTGGTTGGGACACGTGGAAGCGGTGATCCACCTGTTCTCCCCTTCTCCCTCGAGGCCTAGAGATGCAGCAGGAGGGATTCAAGTTAGATATTGGGAGAACGATTCAAGAATAAAGAGAAGTGAGACCCTGAAATGGGTTGTCTAGGCTGGGCATCACAGCGGTCTCTCCGATGGAGCACTAACATCCGGGAGCGTACAGCTAGGCACAGATAAGAGCACCTCTGACCTTCCCTGGGCCCCACCGGGGACAGGACCAAACTAGTGCCAGAGGCAGTTCTTTGGCTCAGGCCTCCCTGCACCCTCCGCTCCCCCAGTGGGGAGACAATGTTGAGGGGAGGGCGGGAGGGCAAGCCTGGCCCGGGGAATGCTGAGGCAGCACAGCTCTCAAATGGCTACAGCTGGAATTCTGAGAACAAAGATCACAACCCCGGGAGGCCCCGCTGGGGGAAGGAATTCAAAATCAGGCCATGTCCAGGATGAGTCCTCTCTGGGACATGGACAGGGGAGAAAAAGAGACCAAGGAGAAATGAGCCCAGAGACACCTAAAGAGCTAGAGACTGGTAAAGAATAAGGTCCGGAGAGGGAGAAGAAATAGAGAGGAAGGGGAAGAGTTGAGAGACGAGGGTTGTTGAGAAGATGTGGACTCTCATTCCCCTTACCCCGGCTGATGGGGAGGGAGATGGGGAGCTTGGGCGATGCCAGAGAGGTGGTGGAAGCACTGAAGTCCTCTTCCTAGGACAGGAGAAATCTGAAGAGAACAGCCCTTAGCCTAGAACATGGAAGAAAGCAGTTTGGGACAAACATCCAGAGAGAGGCGGAAAGAAGTCCAGCGGAGGGAAAACACCTGAGAAAGAGCAGGGCCCACCTGACTTGAGGGGGGAAGCAGTGAGCAAGATGGAGGCAGTGGGAGCTCCAGGGGGAAAATAGCTCAGAAGAGAGGGGGGAGATGAGTAGGCCATGGGCCTAGAGAGAAGGGGCAGTGACACTCTGGGACTGGGGGGCAGGGGTAGGGCAGGGGCAGGTCCAGACAACGTCTAGCTCAATTGTGCTTTAGAGAAAACCCCAAAAGAGAGGGGAGGAGGAGGAAACCTGAGCAACGGGGAAAAGGTACCAAGCAGGGATGGGGGAGGACAGAGCAAGAGAAAAAAGAACTGGGGAATGGAGTCAGGATCTGAGGGCAGGTGCCCAGCTGGAGGAGGGAATTGTCCTGGGAAGGGAACATGGGGAAATGGATTTGAGCATACATCTGAAGGAGCAAAGAAACTCATTGCAGTGGGAGGAGAGAGAGAATTAACCTAGAAATAGGGAAACAAACAAATCCAGTTCTGGGACTTTGGTCTGAAGAGGATAAAGAATGAGGATGGTCAATGTCTGAGAAAAGATGAGATCAGAGGAGAGGGGTAGTGACCGAGAAGGAGCAGCTAGGTGGTGAGCGGATAGAGTGCCAAGCCTGGAGTCAGGAAGACTCATCTTCCTAAACTCAAATCTGGCCTCAGACATTTCCCAGCTGTGTGACCCTGGGCAAGTCACTTAACCCTGTTTGTCTCAGTTTCTTTATCTGTAAAATAAGCTGGAGAAGGAAATGGCAAACCGCTCCAGTATCTTTGCCAAGAAAACCTCAAATGAGGTAATGAAAAGTCGAACACAACTAAAACAACTGAACAATAAGAGCAATGACTGAGAAACATAGGAAACAAGGAGAAAACAACCAGGATGGACAGTGGGGCCAAAAGGGCCACCTACCCAAATAGCTTGGCATATTCTCCCCAGATGAGGCACGGGGCCTTTTTCACTGTCATCACAGGGATTAAGAGGCAGCACCGTTTCCCCCAGATGCCTGCACAGCAGGACCAGGCAGAGGGCATTGGAGGACAGAGCAGAAACAGAAAAGAACTCAAAAAATTCTCCACAAGGCCTCTCTGAATCACCCTCTACCCAGACCTGTGCTTCTTAACATCACATGCATATTAATTGCAGAGCGTCAGGAGTGACTTTCCCAGATTCCTCAGTTATTTATAATGGGCAGATGGGGTCTCTCACACAAGCTATGCAGAAAGGAATGGAGGAAACCCTTTGGGGTGAGTCAGTAGAGGAGAGAGGAGAAACTTGTTGGGATGACTGTGTTGGGAATCTCCTTGTTAAACCAGGTTCATGAAGGTCATTCCCAGAGTACCTCCTCTCTCATTGCAGAGGAGAAAGGGGGGGGGGCAGATATCATTCCCCTGCTGAAAGGTTCCCAAAGAAGGAGAGGCCTTGGCCTGTGTTATAGCTACCAAAGTAAGATTACCAGGAAGTCCTTTCCTGTGTCTAACCTAATTCCCTCTTTAAGGTCTGCACCATGCTACTGGGTGATGGTTGATGGGAAATGAAATCATCTAGGTGCACCAGGGTTTTTCTCGTCAGAATGAGCAAGTCTAGGCTACCGGGCGTATCTGTCCGTTGCCATGGAAACACCCAGGGCTTCTAGAACTACAGCCTTGCTCCTATGCTATTAGTACAATGAGAAGAAAGATAAATGAGGGTTGTTTGGAACACATTAGAAAGAAGCCCCTGGCCTTGGCCCAAATCTGCCCTCTCTCCTCCTTTCCTCCTCCACCCAGGATTGTGTGTGACAACCCAGCCTCTCCCCTCCATCCTGTTTCACTCCTCTGGACAGATAGCAGCGAGGAAGTGAGAAAGGAGCAGAAGTGAGGGGAAAGAGCTGGGTGTGAAAGGGCAGCCAGTAGGAATCCAGTCCCATCCCAAGCTCAGGAATACCCTGAGATCATCCTCAGGGGCCCACGGAAGATTAGGTAAGAGCTATGGCCTATCTGAGCTACTTCACCCAGCCTGAGACCCATCCTTCACCTCTCAGCCTGTATTAGTGCCCATTGACACTCAGCTCTGGATTGCCTGTTTCCTTGCCTGTAAAAGTCCAACCACTGAGCAAACAGTCTTCAACTGGGATTTCCAGCCTGTCACGTCAGAGGAAAGTCAGCAGGATCTCAGAACC